GGGTGATATGCTCTTCAATAAACAGAATATTTGCCCTTGCAATAGCATCACTGAGCCTCATACAGTGCATGACATGATGGAATCTCATCCACCTTCGTAAAAACGAATGTTTAAGATCCTCTCCAGTGACAAGTACCCCGGGAGCTGGAAGTAGTCATTCATCCCTTTCAAGGCATAAATATGGATTAACATCTTACGCTGAAAAACACTCGCCTACAAACATCGTATCAGTAGTACCTACATTTGTGGAAATGATGACTGTGGAGGAAGTTGCCAACTGCGTGACAAAAACCAATTACTCTTTCCAGCGCAGCGGTTTTTACCGAATGGCTTCCGACGCACTACCTACTTTCTTTACTACTTATACCATACTATAAGCAAGCATCAGTGAGTTACGTTCAAAACCACTCTTTTTTGACTTCAAGCAGGGATTCTATGGAGTGACTAACAGCCACCTAATCAGTGGGCTGAAATCATGTGGCTGTCAAGAGTGACCTGGCTTAGAACACTCTTCAAGGGTCGCTCCAAGGTGGTAAAATACATCAGTGGCCGCTGATCCACTTGACCTATACAAAGCTGTATCGTCCGAGGTTATGTGCCAGGATGACCTCCATTTCACTACATGCAAACGACACTTGCATCAGGTGTAGAACACCTTATCTTTTCCCAGACAACTCGAGGGACTGCTTATGCTCTTCTTCGCGCAGAGTGTTCTTCTGAAACTTGATTGGCCTGAATGAATATTTCGCTTGTAGTGTGGCGCGTCAACTCCCTTCGACCCCCGATGAATGTGGCATACCCCGCTTCAAATTATCCTACTCACGTGTAAAACTGCTCCTGGGAGACACCTCACTGCAGATAATCAACCCTGTGAAAGACTTCAGTATCACTTGCTCTGGGAATTCAACCTTCACAGAGTATGGAAGTTTGGTAGTTTCTAAAGGTAGAAGACCGATGGATCCTCTACACAAAAACATTTACACCTGCGGCAAAACTGTAGAAAGTTATTGTTCACCCGATATTACAGTACTGCACAACTATCTACCATAATTTGGGTGCCTCTGATAGGATGCGACTTGTAAAAACCGAATGAAACTTTGCTTGGCGTCTACTTATTGATAATGAAATTTGGTGCAAACAATTTGAAATTGAGCCACTATGGTTGAAACGCCTGAAGACCAAATTACCCTTCTTTCTAGCCCTATATTCAACAAATTTAAAAAGAACTGTTCCATCACTTTTAAGTTGATGCTGACATGCGGTCTCTGTAGTTGTGAACACATCAGTCCTTTGAATACATATCCCTCACAAGTCCTTCTCAGACACTTCGATACACAATGCCATGTGTCGTGGAACAAGCTTTCGACCACTTTTGAAGTCTGCCGGGCTGCTGGCCAGTTTCAATACCCAATTAATGTGCTCCTCGTATCCAGCGATTTTTGCCTGTTCTTTGACAATCAACTCATAAGCAGTGGCTCCACGTACAATGGCGCTACTGGTAGATAGGCCCAACTCAGCGATACAGTCAGTGACATGAGTATGCAGCGCTCAGAATTAAGTTAAGTTAGGAGCTAAATGAGCGACCCAGCTTGAGCAGACACGTATCACTATGCCGAGCAAGATATGCCTCGCAAAAACGAACTGTGTAGCCGCTCTGATGTAAATACTGTTCTTTTATAACCTAACTGATCTCCCGGTTTAGTGCCCCTTCTATTCTGAACCGTGAAAGATAAATCCTCGGTTCGTCACTCCGTACGGACAAATCCTCCCTGCTGCAGTGGCGATCATACTATCCTAACTGTGACACAACCCATTTGACCACCTCTCACTCGCTTGATGACTGTCGAGCTAACGTGCTGTGCTCAAGTTCTTTTTGGAAGCGGTGCTAAGGTCAATGAAGAAAATAGATGCTTAGGGGAAAGACAATATTTCAAGTTGATATTTATCATAATCTAATGTCAGTTGGAGGGGAAACGGAAACTCAGAGGCACTGGACAGCCGTTTCGTCCCAGTATAGGACTCGATGACGGTGCGCAACCACACCTCTGCTAGGGGTCGAACCAGCCACCTTCGGGTTCCCCGACGAGCACGTTGCCATTGGGCCAAGTTCAGGAGTATAATAGCACACAGAGAGGGCATGATAGTGACAAAATGAAAGCTGAAGCATAACACTAAAGCGACCTGATAACATGAGAAGGAGATGGGAAGTGTGACGGTGGGACTTAAGGGTGCTAAAAAAGCCTTTAAGGTGGACGCCAAGTAGCCAGTGTTACATTCTTGAAGTCTCCAAATGCTAGCTTATGATCCCAGCAAAACCGTGACCTTGAAAGTATTGTGAAATCTAACCGCCTATCACAGCTCATAAAACTCCCGCTGCTCGCCCTGCGTACTCTCTTCTTCTGTGATCCCAGTAACTATCTTCCCTCCTCTCTCTCCACGGACTGAAATGTGCACACCCAGGCTTATAGTGGTTCTGGAATGCATAGTCATTATCTTTAGGTATTGGTAAAGCAGTTTAAGTTCGAAACATCAGAATAGCATCATGTAAAACTGGAAAGGTACCCCATGGGTACGGGCTAGACCATGCAGCCGCCCATCCCTCAAGTTCTGTTTAAGCGTTCCTGTCCTCCATTATGTTATCCTAAACCCTGAGGTAACTGGCTCCATCTCTCATGCTAGGGCCAGGCCCCGAAATCCATATCCGATAACTTTCCATGATTTTGTATAAACCAGCCTGCTTCTTCGCGCCCGCTCCAAGATGTTACTGAACAATTCCAGTTCCTTGGAGGTGCTCCATGCAGTAGGTCTATCCACTCACCCACCGCAGCCATAGCATTTCGGTGCGCATTCGGGTATTGACTGAATGTTTGCCGGTTGTGTGCCTTGTCCAAGGGCTGTGGTTCAGATGGGTTCACTAAATGTCGTATCATCTGGGAGTTGTTCGAACTGATTGTAACAGAAAGACAAGAAGGGTAAAAAGATGTTCGGAGAAAACAACGAAGGGCAAGCGAGAGAAAAAGAGGTGAACGGAAACCAAACGAAAAAAGGGAGAGGCCTGGATAGACTTGGGGTGGGCATGAAACTGAACTGTGATGAGGAAGACCTTGATAACTAGGGTGAAACCATGAAACCAAACGGGAGAAAAGGAGCAGGAGTGACAGGAATTGAAATGGTAATCTTATTGTTAGGTGCAGGGTAACAGGAGGCGAGACTTCTAACGGGGAAGGCTAAAAGTGAGTCATGTTTGGGGCAATAATGCCACTATGAAAGATTCGCTATGGGGCTGACTGTGCTGCAGCGGGGAGAATTAGCTGATTATATTCGTCTAGTCCATATCCTAGCTGGATGAAGGCAAGCTATGGGAAGCTAGTTGGCCCTCTTAACTCTTCTTGGGGCTGTCGGCAGGCGGAGTAGTAGCGGTCTTAGTAGAAAACGCGTTTCAAACTCGTAGGACAAAAAACTATGACCACACGCAGGTTTTTGCCCTTTGGCAGGCAGTTATCCTCGGGTTGCCACGTGGATTGTCAGAATGACAGTTGTGTAGGACTTCACCGTTGAGGTGACTTGGGTTATTTGATGTTTTGCGAGGCAGTCGCCACGAAGTCGACGGTAACTAAGAGCGTAGAGCCGCAGGTCCTTAAATCCATCCCGGTAGGTGTTCGCCACATCCTCACAATCCCTTGATTTTTTGCCGGTGAACGTTTTCCAGGAACTTCACATCTCTTTTCAGGCGTGGTGTTGTGAAATAGGTCAAAACTGTTGCGTTATTATTCCCTTTGCGGTCCACTTGACTCTACTTCCGATGTCACAGCTCCCCATGACTTAACGTGGCCAGCATAAAGTAAACTCAGAGACCCGAGATTCACTGGAGGGTGATCCAGGAAATGAAGGGCTAGCGGTAGACTTAAGATAGTTCGTCGTGATGCATCAGCTGATGATACCCCCCAGTCCGGGTAAACCTTGTTGACGTTTTGACAGAATTCTCTGTCGTCTAAGTATTCTTCCGTCGATAGTTTACAAATGAGGATGATGTATGAGACTGTGTCAAGGACCTGGCAAGATTCGAGAAAATCACATAAACAGGGGCTTGACCGTTCCAACATGTCTTCCGGATCTTACTGTCTGTCAGGAGGTATGGAGCTCAGTACATACCCTTCTGGAAACAGTGTTGAACATCACTTGGTGCACCCCTCTCATCTAAGCACTCTCTGACGTGGACGTCTGTTGGGCTCTCCGTTTCTTTCAGAGGCGGTGGCAGAAGTGCAATAGGTTGACAGTATTTCGGGTTCGCCTGCCTACTCCTTTGACGATGATACAGAATAGCACATTTCCACTCGTTTAGAAGCATGGATCTGTCGAAGCAGTTTTAAAACAGGTTAGGAGTAGACTGCAAAAAGCACCCATAATCTGTTTCAAAAGGGATGGAGAGGTGTCATCGCAACCTAGTGGCTTTGTTGCGAAGAACTCAACAGCTTTTCGAGGACCTGAGCAAGGGGTAACTTGTATTCTATGCAACAGAAACCGTTTAACCTTCTCAGATACCCAGAGATTCCCAAGTAACTGAACCTGCAAAATCCAGCTGGTGCTCCAAAAAAGGGATTCCTCTCACCAGAAAGCAAGGCCGGAAAGGAAACAGGCTTTCCTTACCAGCTGCAGAAGCGAGACCAAATGACATTAATCAAGGTTTAAGAGGTGGACGTGAGAGATCGGTAACTGCCAGTTTCCTGCCATCCCAGTACTTACTTGCAGGTGCCAACGAAAGCAGAAGTTACAAAAGGCTAACTGGTCTTACCAGCAGTCCCTTAGTATCATTAAACCAACCTACAGTTTGTACAAGAAAACCTTCAAGCAAACAATCACTGACTCCAGAGCCATATGCATGCGAACTAAAGAGGCCTCTGTGATCAACCAAGGACTTAAGGTGAACAACAGGAACTGGGCTCAAGGCCTAGAAGCGAAAACTTTAAAAGTTAGAGTTTTTTGGCTCACAAAATTAGTGTTGAACGTTGAGTGGACTGCTTTATGAATGTTGCGCTACTTAGCTGTGATCAATTCGTTGTTCCAAAATTCGTAGTAATATATATTCGAGACTTCATCTTTTGGTCTGAGTAGATACTGTATCCAGAATCTCAGTGAGTGTGTCCTTTTCGTTTTGCATCCGGTTGTACCTATCTATTTGAAAACACCAATAATTATTGATAAATGCGAGCCCATTTTAGGATGAGAAAGGGGTTGCTTTATTACTCTTTCATTCGCTTTAAAACCCAAGGTTTTGGCTGTGAAAATGAAACTCGGGTTAAACACACTTGGAATTATACACATGGGCACTATTTTTGGACATTTAAATATTTACACTGTTCTGCAGCGTAGCGACCGTAAATGGGTATTGAAGGGGACACAGTAGTAGTTAAGCAATGGAACAATAAAGAGAAGACGTAATGAAGCACGCAAATTGTTCACATCGTACCTATTTTTCCCGTTTGTCGGCTTTCCTCACCCCTTGCCTGCAGCGCATTATTTCTCGCCGTTGCCTGCACCTTATTTCTTCTTCAACACATCCCTGCAGACTGACTACATTGTGGAGCGAATGTAACTCAGACTTAGACTGACAAAAGTCTGCTCAGTGATTGCGAGTATTGGTAGGCGGTGAAGGTTAAAGAGGTGGAAAAGGCGGTGATAGATAACAGTAAAGTTATTTAGACTTATTAAGGAATCTGGAGAGAAAACGTCATTGGTTAGTAAGGCTATGACGGAGGATGATGTGTCTGTGATTCACTTTTAGGGGATACGATTGGTAGAACACTTCGAGGAACAGTTCAACTGGCCTCCAGATGGTAATGAGTCGCGCTATCCAGTCGAATCCTGAACGAGCATTGAGATGAAACCTTTAACTCAACAAAACTGTAAGCAATCTGAAACAAGGAAAAACAGCAGGGCAGGAAGGGCTATTGCCAGTGGTAATTAAGTACGGTGGTAGAGAATTATTGGTTGAATTAACTGTTGACTATTTTATAGGAGTCAGATAAGATCGCCTTTGACTGATTGTTCCAGTCTTCAAGGAAGGCGAAAAACCCTCTTGTGATTAGTTTGGAGGAGGATTCAGGATGGCTAGGTAAAGATCTGGCACGAGTCAATGAATTTTCTAACTTGGTCTGAGTCATGTGAGGAGATGTAGACTACTTGGTTGGCGTCCCTCAGACGAAACGAAAGACGATGCACTTGTGTGCATCAGTCAGCCAGGTAACCACACAGGAATTAGCCGGACGAACATAATGTTTTGGGTTGTAGTTTCTATAATCATTAGACGTCTGTGGCGCTGGGAACAGCAAACTGGAGAAAGCCAGGCAAACTTCAAACCTGACCGCGGAGGTATCGACCAGTTATTCACACTCTGCCTGGTTATAGGATATAGGCACATCTACCGACACTTGGTACTAGCTGCATTTTTCTATCTAAAGGCGGGATTCGACCCCATTAGTCGATAGGTTTTGCCCCACTTTTTCTCAGTGAGTGGTTCTAAGTTAGTACATCGCCCTGTTGAAGGCCCTTTACCCGAACAACTATGGTCATGTTAGTGTCTATGGTGAGTTGTATAAGTTAGCTGATGTCCGTCGAGGATATTGAATCTCCATTCTTATTTAATTTTATCATAGATGTACTTGTAAAGGTCTCAGTCTACGGGGATTGATTTCATCTTTGGAGAATATAGGGCACGCAGATAGCAGTCGTGTTAGATGAAGATGCTGACAAGATGCAGAGTCTTTTGAACACCTAGGACGGCGATTTGAGAATGTTTGGGACGTATTTCTCACCGACCAAGTGAAAATGATTGCTCCAAGACTGGTCTTCAGTGGTGCCCCGACTAACGTAAGAAAATGAAGTGTTTGACTGCATTAAACACTTCAGTTACCTGGGAAGTCGGTTCAACCCTGGTGGCTCAGTGACCAACGAAATCTGTGCACTGATACAAAAGGTTGCATTGGTGTTTGTTTATAGTGTCAGCGTGATATCCAGTCGAACGTACTTCCCTGTAGTACGCTTTCTTCTACTAAACTACTGTGAAATATGACCATTTAAGGTAGAGGATATAAAATGCCTTAGGTATTTGGCCACCCTTGCCTTCGTAGCATAGGCTGGGTTGTAGTGTCACCGCATCTGTAATGCAGAGGTTAGGTGTAGAGCTTAGGTAGGAGAGGAAAACCGATTGATGAGATTGTGAACCTTCATCGATTCAGGTTGTTGGGATATGTTACACATCCCTGATCACCGTCTGCTTCGTCGTACAGTTTTGACTGAAGTATGCTTTTGCTGAAGAAAGGTTAGAGGTGATCACACTAAAACACCATTATTACATGGAGTCTGTCACTGTTAGTTTGTTCCGCGTAGGGGAATGCGGTCCTCCCGGATATGGTCTGCGTGACAACAGAAACCATTGGTTAGGGACTTTAGTTGATATGGCTGAGGATGGATGTCAGTGGCGCAGATGAACCCACGTATTATGTTCATCTTAATCGTCATACTGAAGTCAGTATTTTCTTATTCCTCCTTGCTACTTTTGACTGCTTCCTCCTTATTTCTTCAGCTTTTATCTTAATGCTATCTCTCTTGATGTGCTGGTAATTGTGGCAACCTGAACCAAGACTTAGGCATACACGTGCCAACGCGTGGTCAGAGTCCAGACAGGTACTCCAGAATGAGCGCAATCCTCCGCCGATCCTCTTCAACGGTGGCTTATAGCAATGCGATCTGTGTGTCCATCGGTGGACGCCATGTGAGATAATGTCTTTCCTTATGCTTGAAGTTAGTGCTGGTCAGAAGCAAGTGATTGTCATCGTCAGAACACAATTACAAGAGGCTATCACCGTTTTCGGTTTGTTGACATGGGATTCCTTAGATAACTTGAATATGCTTTCTGATTACCTCAACTTGCCTAGTTGATGGGTAAAGTCGTCTGCTATTATCACTGCATTTCAACATTTTGCATTGCGTAGCAAAATTGACAGCTTTTCATAGAATTCATCCTTTGTATCATCTGAATTGCACTTGATGGGCACGTTGGTAAAGATTACGAATAGACATAGGTTGATCTCACGATCCTTCCTGGTCGTTACAGATCCATTCAGTCTGACAGCACACAGACAGCCGTTTTCCGCTATCCAATCGAGGAGCGGACTTTCTGTTCTACAATTCGATGCTATGCTCACAGCAGAATTCACGAGGTTTAGCCATTGGGTCTGCAGATACCCGTAGGGTGAGTTCTGAAGATTCACTTCTATGGTCATTTAAGGTAGATTTAATGACTACACTGAGGTTCTGAATGCGTTTTTCAGAGAAAGCATGCATCCATAGCTACAGACTCCAGAGTTTTGGTGAGTGATGCTTGCTGTCCGACTTGACATAGAATTTGGACGTCGAAAGTTCCAACGTGAAATGGATGGTGGGGCCTTTGGATATTAAAGATGATGTTTCGCTGTCTTTGAACGCTAACAATAGTCGTATAGTGAGAGATTAGTTAAGGTGTAATAGGCTTAATATTAGTATCAGGAGGTGAAGGCTAATGTGAAGTGGGAACGAAGGTAAGTAGGGTAGTTTATGCTTGATCAGGTTTAATATACTACTAAAAGCGTGAGGACGGTTGACGTTTCTCTGCTGCCCACACCGTGAAAGTTGTTTTTCAGAGTACATAAAAGTGAAAAAGGCAAAGATGTGTGGCCTCAGGGCCCATTGGATATCTATTTGAGGCTTGTCATACAGCCTTTTGACGATTTTTAGTATGAAATTTGATTGTTCTAACGCTGGGTAGCGAAAACTTATATAGCAGGCACCGGAAGGAGCTGTGCTTCAGTGGTTCAGGGAGATGATTATTAGCCAGTCGTTCATGCTTTCATCCCCGCTCCGCCTACTGAGGTTTACGTAACCAGGTAGTAGAATCACTAGCCTTCACACACAATTGGTGTGGGTCATTGTCTACTGCACGCATGTGCACAAGGTGGCTGTGTTTCGTTTTTCTCGTTTCAGGCTCCAGAAGATCGGGGGGCAGGGATGAGTGTACTTTTTAATTTTTTATTTTCTGACCCCTCTTTCTCATCAAGAAGGCAGCATCAGCGTGGGACTGTCAGTCATCAAACGGAAACACCTTACAGCTGTTACATCCCATCCAGCCAGCAGTACGACTTTATCCTCAGGTCCCCTTCATAGCATACCAACTTACACTATAACTGGTTTTCGTCTTATTACTATCCAACAGATCTTTGTGGTATGGTGAAATGTGGAGCTAACGAGCGTCCCAGCCAATGTAGCTCGATGGGTCGTTGTGATATACATGCCGACCACCGCGTCAAGGTAGCAACTATCGGTCGGCAATTAAAGTTGGGACAAAATAAGTGTTACTTTTCTTGAAGAAGCCTTATACCTTCTGCGATTTTAACTTACCCTTAGGAAACGAAGAGCAAGTTTTGTAGAAGCAGTAGAAGGGTCTGTTAATCAATGGCTAACTTCGCTCAGATGTTTTTCCAAGGGTCTGAAAAATTAGTTGCTACTTGGGATGCTGTTAATGCCATACAATCATGCGACTTCACTTTTAGACGCCCAACATAGTATAAATCACCTACAATGTGATGGTATTTTTACCAATTCTGAAAGTACAGTGAGATCAAAGGGAAATAGTTCCAATCAGCCTAACTTGTTAGTTCATCGCGTTATTCAATTCGTATACCTTGGTCAAGGTAGTTATTGGCTATCGGTCATGGTTAGAAGTTCACTTGTAGGGAAGGTAACCGAAACGATGAACACAGCACTGAGGAACGTTTCATTTAGAAGCCAGATAGTTTCCATTTTCCCGCATACCAGTTACAACCTGAAATATTGACATACGTTTATCAAATCTCACGAAGTTAAGAGTGTGATTAGGAACTTTAAACAAATAAAGTCGTCGAATAATGATGGGCTACTGTCGAACTTATTTGTGAATAGTAACCGTAATGTTATAACTTAACTGAGTTGTTAGCTGGAACATGAGAATCAAATGTAATACCATGTGACTTTTCACTATCACTGATTATTACAGTTTACAAGAAGAAAGAATCCTCTTGTGATAATTTTGAGTGTTGATCGAGTTGTGAGGGCAGTTGATACTTCCCGACTGCCCACACTATGGAAGACTATTTCTTCTTAAGGTACGGCAGAGCCCATCGGACGTCTACTTGAGGCCTGTCACACGTAACCTTTTGAGTATGATTATTTTGAACTTTTGTATTTTTGGGGCGGGATGGTCGAAAATAAACGACAAATAAACCAACACCGCTATCCCGGCAGACCATGGGGCATGGGCGAGTGTGTATGCCTAGTCACCGATTGCCTCGTCACACAATGTTGGCTGAAGTAGGCGCAGGCTGGTAAAAGGCCCAAGGTGGCCAGACTAAAACATGGCACCAATGCATGAAGTCTCTGACTGTTGACTTGATCCATGTGGGGTGATGCAGACTAGGTGGTTGGGGTCAGCGGGACAAAAGGAACCAGTGGCTGGAGACTGACTCTAGGTGATATGGCTAAAAACCGACGTCAGTGGTGCAGATGTATCCTCATACACATTATCCTCATCTTAACAACACTATACCGAATCTCACCATTTTCTCATTCTTCCTTTCTCTCTTCTCGTACTTTATATTCCTTTTGTGTGCATTCTCTTATCTTCATCCTTCACCTCACTACCTTTCTACTTGATGTGGTGATATATGAAGTGTGGCAAGTGGGACCGTTAGGCAGTAATGTCTAGTCCTATGTTGATATTGATGATGATGTGATAATTTTAAAGGAATCAGCCTGACAAATGTATTGTCCACAAATCTTGGTTTTATCATCATCATCATCAAATACCTTACTGAAGCTTAGAAGCAGTAAATTGACGTGAAATATACAAATTCGAGGCATTTTAGCAATTATATTGACTAGATCTTTATTCTTAATTAAAACTTAAAATATAGATGTCAAGGTTAGTTGTAGTTACATTGGCGCCGCCGTGATATTCGTTTGTCTATTAAGGGTCGCGTGTACTGCACAGCAGTCCGCTCTGTTCTACTATACGGCTGTGAAACATGGCCATTGAAAGTGGAGGATACAAAAAGGCTTCAGGTGTTTGACCACCGTTGCCTTCGTAGTATAGGACGTATTCCGTGGTGTCACCACTTGAGTAATGCAGAAGTTAGATGTAGAGTTTTGGGTAGAAGAGGTAAGTCAATTGACGAGGTTGTGAACCTTCATCGACTGAGATGGTTGAGACACGTACTACGTATGCCTAGTCACCGATTGCCTCGTCACACAATGTTGGCTGAGGTGGGTTCAGGCTGTAAAAAGGCGCGAGGTGGCCAGACTAAAACATGGCACCAATGTATGAAGTCTCTGACTGTTGGATGAAGCCATGTGGGGTGACGATGCAGACTAGGTGGTTGGGGTCGGTGGGACAAGAGGAACCAGTGGTTGGAGACCCTAGGTGATATGGCTCAGGACGGATGTCAGTGGCGCAGATGTATACACACATTATCCTCATCTTAACAACGCTATACCGAATCTCACTATTTTGTCACTCCTCTTTCTTTTCTTTTCGTACTTTATATTTCTTTTGACTGCATTCACTTATCTTCATCCTTCACCTCACTACCTTTTTACTTGATGTGCTGATATGAGGTGTGGCAACTTGGAGGGTTACGCAGTAATGCCTGGTCCTATGTTGATAATGATGATGATGAGTTATATTGTACTCAAAGATCTTTGATCATTTTTACATTCTTCAATAGAATATCAGATGAGATCTTGACTCCATCGATTTTTATTTCATAAAAGACTTATTTATCAAAATTTCTATCTTTATTGAATTTGTAAAAGATTTTCTAGGTTAAATTATGTAGAAAAAGTAGTCATATTATATAGATAGCATCTTTTCTATTGCCTCAATACAATTTATTACTTTAGAGATAATCCACATGAAAGTTTCATCTCACATTAAAAAGTAGAGTCGTTGAACCAGTTGATATGACTATGCTTATTTAGGAAGCTTGATTAGAAGCCGTAGTGGTCAATGAAATCTTAGGATGAATACAAAAGACTGATTAAATCTTAATAATAATAATAATAATAATGATAATAATAATAATAATCGCTTTATTCTAAACAGTATGCATGATATAATATAGAATTTTCAGCATAGATTATTTCAACAACTTCGCTTTCTGTACAATATTTTTAAAAGAAATAATTAGTCTGTCTTTGTAGTGTTAATAATAACAGTATAAAAGATATAAGTGTGAAGCAGGCAGCTAGTGTTACATTAGTATCTGTTATCAATTAGGTGTATTTTTGAGCATTTAAAAATCTATTTCCAACCAGTGGAATATTTTTCCTTTATTTTGTTCTTAATTTGAGAAATAAAAGTTTGAAAACATTTTAAAAATATACGGAAATACACGGTGCATTGAAAGATATTTGAAAGAATAAAACTAAACTAAAAGGGAAGAAGTTGATAGAATATGATTGGTGGAAAATTTAGTTGGTTAGTCGAAGATTTAAGTAAGCTACTAATGATTTATGGTACTGACGAGATATCCAATTGCTTACTAAAGTTCAAGTATACTGGATTGCAGTTTACTCTAACCTATTTACTAAATGAATGTAAAATATTGCGGAAATGCTTCATATATTCAATGACTAGTGCATATATGTTATCACTAAGGTGTTTAAAAAAAACAACTACCGAATGAGTAATCTAGAAGTTGTACACAGAGTACAATGGTTAGGAAAGCAAGCTAGTTGATTGCACTCCATTTCACTCTTCTCTGCAGTCTTTTGAACCTGACTTCACGACTGCCTACAAGCTTTCATTTCTTCCTCACACCATCTCCTCCATGTCACCTTTTCCTCGGACGCCCAACTCATCGTTTCCCATTTGGATTCCATTCGAGGACCTGACGCGTGATGTCCCCAATCGGTCTTTTCAGTGTATGCTCAATCCATCTCCACTTTCTGCTTCTGTGTATTTTTTGGGGGATGGGTTCTTGGTTGGTTGGTTCGTCTCCAGCCAGAATGAGTGTCGTGTTGATTATTCTTTCTGGCCAGCTGATCTGATCTTCAGTATCGAGCGTAGGTGGCAGTTGTTGATGAATGTCTGTAGTTTGTTGGAAATGCTTTTCGTGACGCTCCAAGTTTCTGAACCATATAGAAGCACTGACGTGACTGGCATTAGTGTTGAAAGTCCAGATCTTGTTAGTTATGCTGAGTGGAGTGCAGTAGATCTCCACACTGGTCTCAGGTTAATGAATGCTTGTGTTGCTCTTCCGATCCTGATTTTGACATCGTCATCTGTGTCTGTGCCCCCTGTAGTTGAAACGATGCTGCTCTCCCTAGATAGGTGAAAGAGACAACTTCCTTTAAGTTTCTCCCGTTGATGGTGATTGATGCTTGTTGTTGTTGATTAGGTATCTTCATCACCTCTGTCTTCTCTACGTTCACTTGAAGTCCCGTTTTCGCTGCCTCTTCCGTCAACTTGTTGGTTTTTGCCTGTAGATCTTCGAGTTTGTTCGATACTAAACACAAATCATCGGAGAAATCCAAATCTTCTAGGGCCTTTTCGTTGGTCAAACAGCCCGTCTTCTCGTTCCTCATGGTTTGCTCCATTATCCATTCGACAAGAAAATCTCACTTAGCAGGTTAAAATTTGTAAAATATTCTCTAGGTAATCAGATTACAACTTTTATTATGTTAAATATTCAATATCTTTTTAATTATATTATTTATCCCTTGGGTTCCTAATGGAACATAGAGCTTCAGTAGCATGTCTCCAATGCGCTCTGTCTCTGAAATCTTTTGAACCTGGATACGCGACAGCCAAGAAGCTCTCATTTCTTCCTGACACGATCTCCTCCATGTCACCCTCGGACACCCTCGCCCAACTCGTCGCTTCCCATCTGGGTTCCACTCGAGCACCTGGCCTGGCGCATGATGTCCCCGAATGGTCTCCTCAGTGTATGCCCAATCCATCTCCACTTCCTTCCAATGCATATTTGTTGAGCGATAGATTCTTGCTTCGTTAGTTCGTTACTTGGCCAGCCAGAGTTCCTTGTTGCTTATTCTTATTATTCTGGCCATCTGATATCGCTCTCAGTAAGGAGCCAGTGTAGGTGGCAGTTGTTGATGAATGTCTGTAGTTTGTTGGAAATGCTTTTCGTAACGCACCAAGTCTCTGAACCATATAGAAGCATTGACTTGACTGGCATTGGTGTTGAAAATCCGGACATTGTTGACGCTTTATGCTGAGTGGAGAGCAGAAGATCTCCACACTGGTTTCAGGTTAATGAATGCGTATCTTGCTGTCTTTCTGATCCTGTCCTCATCAGTACCACGTGTAGTTGAAACGATGCTACTCTGCCTAGATAGATGAAAGAGACTACTTCTTTAAAGTTTCTCCTGTTGATGGTGATTGGAGCTTGTTGTTGTTGTTGTTGGTTATCATCATCACCTCTATCTTCTCTACATCCACTCGTACTCCCATCTTCGCTGCTTCTTCTGCCAACCTGTTAACTTGATTCAATAGATTTGGATGATATGTAAGATGTGTTGAGTAGCGCTTTATTAATAATCATGTTATATATATATATATATATATATATATATATATATATATATATATATATAATTCTCTCTGTTGTAGGCTATTCCTATCATACTGATTCTTATCTATGACTGAACGGAAAGTTCTCAATGTAAGTTATATAAAATAGATTATTTCGTTTTACTATATAGAAATATTTCCCTCCAGATTATGATCCTTCAAAAATACCTCGTCTTAGAAGAGGTGAGAGACGTAAACAATTCAATATACGTACAATGGCTCCATTCAATATGAGGTTATTCATTAACAATACATATATATATTTAAATATCTCTTTAGATGTAATACATGCAATGGATATATTTATAAAGCGAAAAAATTTAATTCTCGAATGGAAACTGCAGAGAATGTTGATTATTTAGGATTAAGACATTATCGTTTTTATATTCGATGTCCTATATGTTGTGCTGAAATAATTTGGCGTGTATGTTTATTCAAATTGATTCCATCTTAATATAAATTTTATCACTTAATATTATATATTAATAGACAGATTTAGAAAATGGTGATTATATGCTAGAAAGTGGAGCTAAACGAAATTTTGAAGCATTAAAAACAGCTGAAGAATTAGAAGTTAAACGTCAAGCTGAAGAAGAAGAAGAACTTGCTAATAATCCAATGAAATTATTAGAAAAACGAACTGATCAAAGCAAACAAGAAATGGAAATGGTTGAAGTGATTGAAGATTTAAAACAATTGAATCAACGACAAGCTACTATGGAAGCAGATCATGTTTTACTTAGAAAAATGTGGCAAGAAGAAGAAGCTATAAAAAAAGCTGAACAAGAAGCTGATGAAGCATTAATAAAGTAGGCTTATATTTAAAATATTCCAGTCATGTTGATTAGAACAAAACATATATAAGCGAACAATACTAGGTGATACAAAAGGCTCGATTGGCTTTTGCCAATTTGCGCCACCCATGGCGCCGCCGTGATATTCGTTTGCCTATTAAGGGTCGCATGTACTGCACAGCAGTCCGCTCTGTTCTACTATACGGCTGTGAAACATGGCCATTGAAAGTGGAAGACATGAGAAGGTTACAGGTATTTGACCACCGTTGCCTTCGTAGTATAGGACGTATTCCGTGGTGTCACCACCTGAGTAATGCAGAAGTTAGGTGTAGAGTTTTGGGGAGAAGAGGTAAGTCAGTTGACGAGGTTGTGAACCTTCATCGACTGAGATGGTTGGGACACGTACTACGTATGCCTAGTCACCGATTGCCTCGTCACACAATGTTGGCTGAGGTGGGTTCAGGCTGTAAAAAGGCCCGAGGTGGCCAGACTAAAACATGGCACCAATGTATGAAGTCTCTGACTGTTGGATGAAGCCATGTAGGACGATGCAGACTAGATGGTTGGGGTCGGTGGGACAAGAGGAACCAGTGGTTGGAGACTCTAGGTGATATGGCTCAGAACCGAAGTCAGTGGCGCAGATGTATACACACATTATCCTCATCTTAACAACGCTATACCGAATCTCACTATTTTGTCACTCCTCTTTCCTTTCTCATACTTTATATTTCTTTTGACTGCATTCACTTATCTTCATCCTTCACCTCACTACCTTTTTACTTGATGTGCTGATATGAGGTGTGGCAACTTGGAGGGTTACACAGTAATGCCTGGTCCTATGTTGATAATGATTATTGTTATTATTATTATTTGTCCCTTGGGTTCTTAATGGAACATATAAGGCTTCAGTAGCACGTCTCTATTCCACTCTCCTCTCTTCAGTCTTTTCAACCTCGCTCCACGGCAGCCCAGAAGCTCTCATTTTCTTCTTACACCCTCGCTTCGGACGCCCAACTCATCGTTTCCCCTTTAGGTTCCACTCGAGTGCCCGACCTGGCACATGATGTCCCCAGTCAGCCTTCTCAGTGTATACCCAATCCATCTCCACTTTCTTCTTCTACGTATTTGTTGAGCGATAGGTCCTTGGTTGGTTCGTTGCCAGCCAGCCAGAGTTCCTTGTTGCTTATTCTTATTATTCTGGTTATCTGATCTCACCTTCAGTAAGGAGCCAGCGTAGGCAGTTGTTGATGCATGTCTGTAGTTTGTTGGAAATGCTTTTCGTAACGCACCAAGTCTCTGAACCATATAGAAGCACTGACTTGACTGGCATTGGTGTTGAAAATCCGGACATTGTTGACGCTTTATGCTGAGTGGAGAGCAGAAGATCTCCACACTGGTTTCAGGTTAATGAATGCGTATCTTGCTGTCTTTCTGATCCTGTCCTCATCAGTACCACGTGTAGTTGAAACGATGTTACTCTGCCTAGATAGATGAAAGAGACTACTTCTTTTAAGTTTCTCCTGTTGATGGTGATTGGAGCTTGTTGTTGTTGTTGGTGGTGGTAGGGTATCTTCATTACCTCTGTCAAACACATGATGTCCCCAGTCGGCCTTCTCAGTGTATGTCGAATTCATCTCCACTTCCTTCTGCATATTCGCAGAGGGAAAACTGAGTGATAAAGTTATTAATTAAGTAATCCTTGGCCAAAGGGAAAGATAAGGGATGTACAAACTTCTTGTGAATACAAAGGCTAGGATTATTAGCTCGAATTCCCACAGCTTCTGCTGTGTGTAAAAGACGAGTTTGAATAGCATTTGAAAGATTACATGGTATGCGGTGTATAGTCGTGAAAGCAGTGTTCTTATCTACTGTCAATGAGGTGAGATAAAACTGAGCTAGCTTCTGATCGATTTTATCTGTCCCTTTCCCAACCATGAAGATAAATGCTCAACAACACGTTTGTTAAGTTGTCTAGTAGTACCCCCTATGTAGCTTTCTCCACAGCAGCAGCAGCTAAACTTGTAAATACGCATAGAAATGGCAAAACTAGATAACTTATCTTATGTCTGAGCAGTAACAATTGGTCAACTAGAAAATGATAGACAAAGTTGTGCGGCGTAGAAGGTTCTTTTAATGGCTCTAGAGAGTCTCTGGTATAAAACTTCTCCAGCCATTTATCACAGCGGACGAATCTACATGATTGGTTTAATTTTATACACATATATTAAGCTATTTGTATTAGAGTAAAGCCTGAAAAGGATCTAATTGAAAACAATATTGTTCGCTTATATGTCTTGTTCTACTAATATGTTGTTGAACTGTTGACTATGAGGTTTCTGACTTGGTGGCTCTACCAACTGAATTACGAAGTATGAGAGTTTTGTCCGACTACTATGTGAATTTGTGATACATTGCCACCGCTTGAAGTGAAATAATCTGGTCAGTAGTCAGACTTCGTAGCCTAGTTGGTAGAGCAGTGGACGGGGAACTCAGCGGTCGCTGGTTCGAATCTGGCTGCGGTCCAAACTTTCATTTCACCTTAAATTATCATTACTCATTGTCAGTACTAGTCTACCAAACCATGGCTAATATCTCATATAGTAGTCAAAATGATAATCAGTATAATGCTCCCCCTCTCATTCTAATTCATTTCGATTTGGATTGGGATGAGAAGTCGTAACTAGGCAGTCAGTGGGGGAGTACTATAGAGCAGTAATGAGTAACGCTTCATTAATTCACATGGTAGTCATCATCACCTAGTATAAATAAATACTAGTCTGGTTGACTACAGCTATCTTAAATGGTCAAAATGATAATGGTTATTTATTTATTTATTTATTACTCTATAGGGAGTTACTTGCATCTAAATCGGAACATGTTCATCTATTACCATTAACTGAACCCGAAGTTAATAATCCTGTGAAAGTGAATAAAATACCAGGTTAGTAATACTTTTATGAATTTCACCATTCTTTATTATAGACATGAAAACTTTACTCGATTCTACTAAAAAAGGATCAGTTGATGTAAGTTGACAGATTGATGTATAATACTTTCTACAATAAGATTTGTAATCGGATATGTTTTTTTTTTGGGGGGGGGGAGGGGGGCGGAAGGGAGGGATGGGATATATTAGATTATTTGTAAACTGATAGTTACCTTTTTGTCTAACATTTTACAAAGTTGTTGAACCTACTCTGAATTAATTAGATATGGTGATATATGATCTGTAGGTTAGTTCATACTCAAATAAACGTTATTCTTTTAGCTAATATTGTGCCTGTATAATCATAAATGTTATAAATTGTGTAACATTAAGGTATTCTCATGCTATAATGGCCTATTATTATTTATCCTTTGGATTCCTAGTGGAATGTAGAGCTTCAGGAGCACGTCTCCATTCCACTCTGTTCTCTGCAATCCTTTGAACTTGGCTCCACAACAGCCCAGAAGCTCTCATTTCTTCCTCACATGATCTTCATGTCACCCTCGGATGCTCAACTCGTGGTTTCCCGTATGGGTTCCACTCGAGTGCCTGACACTTGATGTCCCCGAATGGTCTTCTCAGTGTATACCCAATCCATCTCCACTTCCTTCCAATGCATATTTGTTGAGCGATTGATTCTTGCTTCGTTGGTTCTTTGCCGGAGTTCCTTATTACTAATTCTTTCTGGCCATGTGATCTCATCTTTAGTAAGGAGCCAGCGTACGCAGCTGTTGATGAACATTTGTAGTTTGTTGGAAATGCCTTTCGTAACACGCCAAGTCTCTGAACCATACAGAAGCACTGACTTGACTGGCATTGGTGTTGAAAATCCGGATATTGTTCATGCTCTATCCTGAGTGCAGTGCAGTGCAGATCTCCACGCTGATTTCAAATTAATGAAAGCCTGTCTTGCTGTCTTTCTGATCCTGTCCTCATCAGTACCACGTGTAGTTGAAACGATGCTACTCTGCCTAGATAGATGAAAGAGACTACTTCTTTTTAAGTTTCTCCTGTTGATGGTGATTGGAGCTTGTTGTTATTATTGGTGATGTTGGTTGGGTATCATCAATGCCTCTGTCTTCTCTACGTTCACTTGAAGTCCTGTCTTCGCTGCCCTGCCTCTTCTGTCAACTGTTGGTTTTTGCCTGTAGATCTTCGAGTTTATGCGACATTAGACAGAAGTCATCGGTGAAATCCAAATCTTCTATGCTCTTTTTATCGGTCCAGCCAGTGTATGTCCATCTTCTCGCTCCTCACTGTTTGTTGCATGATCCAGTCCACCGCAATAAGGAAGATCATGGGTGGTAGTAGACAGCTTTGTCTTACTCCTGTCTTCATTTCAAAGGCATCACTGAGCTTCCTATTGTGAATTACTTGTCATGTGGCGTCTTCATGCAGTTGGTGAATAAGGCTGTAATGGTCTAGTGGACGTAAAATCCATAAACTGGCTTTCACTGCTAACCAGCCACTACATAGATAACAACATAATGAGTAGTTAGGAAGTATCAAGTCGTTCACATGCCAGAACATCTGCCCATCTGGGTAAAGGTTCTTGTTATCTATTGTATAGTAATTTATTAGTTTCTTGAAGTATTCTTGGATTGTCAGCCCAATGATGAGAGATTGTTTCATGATATTTAAAAGGCAAAAATATGTTTCTTGCAACTTTTGCATCAGAAAATGATTGCTAAGAATCCTTTGTAGAGTAGAAACCTGTTGTCTTACATTTGTTATGCTATTTATCAATTATACTTATTTGTGGTGAATTACTATCAGGTTTTATGTAGCACTACATGAGTCTCTGCATAACCAATCACATTTCTAGCTGTACATCCTATGGTTTCGTGTTTAGTTGAATTCTCATATCTGTGGTGTTGTAGTCCCATTGGCTTAGGGGAGGGGAAAAGTAAACTTTTAACCATGAGTCGCGGTTTCGAATACCCCTCCACCTACCGAGGTTTAGGTAGCCAGGTAGGATAATTATCTCTCATCTATTGAGTATGGTTCATTGCTTGCTGGTTGGATGTGCACAAGGTTGCTGAAAGGATTTCTCTCTCCCTCTCTCCCACTAGCTCCGTGTTTTTCAAGATATCAAGAATCAGTGATTAACGAATCTAAAAATTGACCTCAATGGCAAAGATATGCACTCACACTTATTCTCCAACAAAAGTTTAACCATCTGAGATAGCCGTCGGTTGGCGGACTAGTGTTTATACTGAGTGATGATTGAAGGCAAAATGAAAACTTGGACCGCGGCCGGATTCGAACTAGTGACTACAGGTCGTAGTCCTTATTTTCATTTCACCTTCAGTCATCACTCAGTATAAAAAGTTTGACTATTGAAGATATTACTACTGAAGGATTTGAGTAGTTTGTGGAAACCATTCAGGCTGATCTGTAATATTTCTCCAGGTCAGCTAATCAGATAACTCTGATCTGAACTAATTCAACTGAACGAGCTTAATTTATCCAGGTAAACTGCTGATGATCTCGATGCCAAACGAGCGAAACAATTGTCCGGTGTTTAGATTAATCTGGCTGACTGGTAATCTTCTTGGATGACGTCCACGAAACAATTGAAATTATTGGTTGACAACTTGATAGAGTGAGTATGTTACTACTCTGTTATTGAGTCAGGTTTTTGCAATTTCTTCATTTTGTAGGATTTATTCAGTGATTAGCGCGATTCATTTCGACTACATTTCAACTGCACCTAGTCATTACATTGTTTCTATTTCTGTGTAAGTTTCACACTTCATTACTCATCACATTCGGTCTGAGAGGGTATAAAGTAACAGAAATCAGTTATTGACGATTAACCCTTTATTACAAGCAGTAAACGGGTTCGACTTTCAATCAGTTTATCATAAAACTTATAATTCTGCTTCACTAATTTGCATTTATGTAGTGGTAGAAACCATAAGGAAATTGCCAGCAATGGGTAAGGATTCTAACTAAAGAAACGCAAGAGATAACGCCGGCGTATTGAGAGCGAATCAAGAGAGAAGCAGAAAAGAAAATGAAGCACATTATGCAAACGACTGTCTTAGTGCAAGGTGTACCATATTTAACGACCGTATCTGATGACTTCGTCTCTGTCTTGTCGTTTTCTGCTTCTGGACGTGATGAAGATTCTGTGGCCTGCAGTATTCAAGGATGGAGACATCGAGGTCTTTTTCCAGGGACTTCGAATAGGTTGCAGAGTTGACGGGTGTCCGGGATACAGGAGCGTAGGTCATGGTGCTTAGCACGTTGCTGGGGGGTAGAGCAAAAGCGACATATGATGGCGTGGAACGCTTGGATGGGAAGGAGATTTGGGCGAGAATGGTTGGATGACTGGAGGTGGAGTTTATAATAGGTCAGAGGACAGGGAACTGGTGATTCAGAAGTTCCAGAACACGGAATTTGGAATAGACGAAGACTCACTGGTATTGTCTGTCAAGTTGGCGAAACTACTTCGATGAGCACTTCCCACTTTGGATTAGGACTCCCAGGAGCAGTTGATGGCTGCACAGTTCACCGAAAGTGTCTTGAATGCCATCGCCCAGCAACTAAAACTATTGACCACAGCCCAACCCATGGATATTAGTGAGATGGCCAGGGTGACCGGACAGCTAATGGCTACAGCACTAGCTACGGTGGAATCACCAACGGTAGAATAACTAGAAAAAAACAAATTGACAACCTTCAGGAGGAGGTGACTGTACTTCGAATGAATATTAACAGAATCCTTACCCATTGCTGGTAATTCCCTACGATTTCTGTTACCCTCTCAACATATACTACTTAAATCCATCCTTATCAGCAACGCCTACTACAATATTATTTTACATCTTACACAACTTGTGCATATATGTGGTCGTCATGTGTTGTAAACTCGAAATTGGAATATTAACAGACAATCAGCTATATTGTACAGTAAATGATGAACTACACCTATTGTATAGAGCTTTGTCGATAGAGCAGGCCTCGAACCTATAACCTATTGGTCAAAAATCATCTTTTTCCTAAAACCCATGAACTAAAACTATGAGTTGTATACGACTATTTCTAAGCAATTCTAACCATCAGAATCAGTATTTATGGGATTGATCATGGAGTGACATCAGTTGGGAAAACATTGGATAGCTGTTTCGTCCGTCTAGTATAGGACTCCTCATCAATGCTCACTCATAACCCGCTGACTCAGTGATAACGTGATGGCTTCCGAATCTGAAGGTCGTGAGTTTGATCCCTGGAGGTCCAGGTCGTGGGTACGCACTTCTGAGGAGCCTCATACCAGTTGAACGAAACAGCTGTCCAATACTTTCAATGTTCCTTCAACTCATGTCAGTAGTTCATGATGAATTGGAAACTTGAAATCAATTGTCAAATCTCTAGATAGAATAAATAAAGCTTATTCACTTTTATAAAATTCTATATCTTTTTTTAGAGTGGGAAATCTTACTTAAAACGTCAACTTCAAGGCATACTTCTTCTACCGAAACAATTATCATCTGAAGCGAAAACTTCTAAAATGGATCCTATTTCTAATATTAATGATGTTTCAAGTTGTACAGTTGACAAACCGTTGAAAAATGACAAATCATTACAGAATACTGTTGCTGCTGCTGCTGCTGATGATGATGATGATGATGCGCAGTCATGTTTACCTTTACCTGGAATGATATATTCAGATCATAGTGATAGTGATTGAAAAAAGATGATGTGAACAAAAACACACAACCATATTCATCACTTTTGTACAGGTTATCTAAATTCTACAGGTTTGTATAATATGATTTGGTTAGTACTACAAATTTGTTCAATGTCACTATCATAGTTAGACAGTTTTATAGAATACCTCTCGATTATCGAAAGGTTGAAGATCTCGATCAATACACACTGTCACTGAAGTTTCAAATCGGCTGCTTGATTTTCTCAAGTTTGTTGTTATCCAGCTGTAATTAGGTGTTGATTAACTATGGATCTTAAGATGTTAGATGCTATTTCAGTCTGAGAAAAAACTACTTATTACCTTTTAACTTACGTTTGTATTTTCTGAAATATTGTGGTAAAAGTGACATTCATATGAATTATTTGAGTGAGTGTTGTTATTTCCACTGGGACTCGAACTGGGGACCGATCGATTCAAATGCCAGAACACTATCCACTAGATCATTGAGACACGATAGTCACTTCTTGTGGCAAGGAGAAACACTAAAAGTATACTCGTCGGTTGAAAGTTTGAATTTCAGTGGGGACAACATCAATCATTATGAGGTGTCATCATCATCATCATCAATATTAACATAGGACTAGGCATTACTGCGTAACGGTCCGAGTTGCCACACCTCATATATCACCACATCAAGTAAAAAGGCAGTGAGGTGAAAGATGAAGATAAGAGAATGCAGCCAGAAGAAATATAAAGTACGAGAAGAAGAGAGAAACGAAGAATGAGAAAATGGTGAGATTCGGTATAGTGTTGTTAAGATGAGGATAATATGTGTGGGGATACATCTGCACCACTGACATCACTTCCCATCCATATCACCTAGAGTCAGTCTCCAACCACTGGTTCTTCTTGTCTCGCTGACCCCAACCACCTTGTCTGCATTGCCCTACATGGCTTAAACCAACAGTCAGAGACTTCATACATTGGTGCCATGTTTTAGTCTGGCCACGTCGAGCCTGAAAAAGTGGTGAGAGTCGCTAACAAAAATGAAAGTTGAAATCCCAAATATCCACCTCACTGACTAATCACTTAAAATATTCATCTTCATTTATGCTCACTTCCTATCAATCACTTCGTCTCTCCTTCTTCAAGCCTTGAATATTTACATATAATCTACTTTTTGCAGTGTTTTCAAAGTATTCAACCCACTAAACAGATCACTTCATTGAAAACACAAGACATGACACAGTCAGTGTACAACGAATGGTGTACTCAAGAGGATATCTCTTTACCACAGAAACTCACATATAGAAATATCCATCCTCAGTAGAATAGAGAGAAAGTGAATACAATTTTGAAGTATTCGAAGGAGGAGATTTAGGTGGAATAACTACTCAATATATGCTAACATTTCATATCTTAGTGTATCTGTGAACAATGAGAACTATGTGGTGTGTTCAATCTTCTATTGAAAAACTGTCAACCATTTAGGTGATGTGAAGTGAAACGTTTTCAGACTATTTCATGAATATTCTTCATCATGAAACCTATCACATTTGCATCATGAGTGAAGTGGATGAAGGAAGATCAGTCAATCAATCAATCAATCAATCAATATCAACATAGGACCAGGCATTACTGCGTAACGGTCCGAGTTGCCACACCCCATATCAGTACATCAAGTAGAAAGTTAGTTAGGTGAAGGATGAAGATAAGAGAATGCAGCCAGAAGAAATATCAAGTATGAGAAGAGAGAGAGAGAAAGGAAGAATGAGGAAATGGTGAGATTCGGTATAGTGTTGTTAAGATGAGGATAATGTGTGTGGGTGTACATCTGCACCACTGACATCACTTCCCATCCATATCACCTAGAGTCAGTTTCCAACCACTGGTTCGTCTTGTCCCGCTGACCCCAACCACCTAGTCTCCATTGCCCTACATGGCTCAAACCAACAGTCAGAGACTTCATACATTGGTGCCATGTTTTAGTCTGGCCACCTCTCACCTTTCTCCAGCCTCAATCTACTTCGGCCAAGATTGTGTGACGAGGCAATCGGTGACTGGGCATTCGTAGTACGTGTCCCAACCATCTCACTCGATGAAGGTTGATAACCTCACCTCGTCAACCTTTACTCCGTAAAACTGTATACCTGACGTCTGCTTTATTCACGTGGTGACAGCAGAGAACGCGGCCTGTAGTATGAAGGCAAGGGTGATGAAGCACCTGGAGCCAGCCTTCTCATGTCTTCCACCTTGAATGGCTATGTTTCACAGCCATAGAGTAGAAGAGAGGGGACTGCTGTTCAGTACTCGTGACCCTTAATAGACGATCGGATATGATGGCGGCGCCACAGATGGGGTAAGTTGACAAAAGCCAACCGAGCCTTTAGTATCCATTCAGAGATTTCATCGGCCACTGACCAGTGCACCAGTGCTGATCCTAGTTCACTTCTCAGGTAAGTGAAGTGAAGTGGTCGACACACTCGACCACTTCACTCTCTATTGTCAGCCGCGGCACCGCTGAAGACCAGAGAGAAGGTAGGAGTGAAAGTTGGATAGTGTGTGTGTTAGATTGTGAGGTTATTTAAGTTTGTATATTGAAAGTATTACAGTGAATAGGCATTATTCACTGCTTCCAGTAGGTATTAATATTTGTATGTCGGAGTGATCTTGACAGAGGAGGAATAATTAGCGCATTAAAACAAGCGAAATTGAAAATGCAGACAATGTCGAGACATCCACATTGCTGATGAACTTGGTTTACTCAGTGACAGGATAATATGCACTCAACATCATATAAAGTATACTGGTGTCATAAGAAGTGGCTGCTGTGACACAACGGGCAGGTGGATAACGCTATAGTTTTTGAATTGATCGGTCTTGGTTTTCAGTCCTTGTGGGAGCAACATTGCTTACTGGGATGTGGGTGCATTCAGCTGTTGAGTTCGTCTCCAAATAGGACAAAACAGGCGTCAAGATGAATTCCACGGGTTACCTTTGTTCATCATTAATATGAAGACAGTATAACGGTAGCGAAGTGTAATCCACAAATTTATACTTAAACTGGTGAAATCATGCAAACCTGTCGACTTTGTACTTATGGAAAATGCGCGTATCTTGTAACGCATTCACATAATTCAGTGTCTTGTTCATCATCTACTGATTAGTCTGTACCGTTGCTGCGAAATATGGCTAGTATTGAACGTTATTTCAATGACCAACAGTGAAACTCTTGATATACGTTTCGTGTCAATTTGGACACGTCAGCCGGATCTACCTGCATTCCTGTGAGGCATGTTATTCCCACTAATACTCAGATCAACCACTCATCATTTAAAACGTCAAAGTGTTATCTAGTAGGGTACCAAGTGGCGAGACACATCTCTTCTGCAGCGGCTATTAGTCATCATTTTACTTATAGTTGTGATTTCTCATTGTTATCTTGAATCGTATTGGTCGACTTCTGGTAGCCTTTGGGATCTTATATGAATACTTTGCGATTATCTGGAGATTATTTATGTTATTATTTGCATGATTATGGTTAACAGACTGAATTTGTACTGAAATTGACCGAAATGTGACATTTATTCAGTGTTCTTCTAGCTTTTATGAAATGAGTCTTGAGACAGCATCCACTTCAATATCTGAATGTTTATGACATATCCTGAGATAGAACTAATCTCGGAGAAATCATATGCTTATCATCGTCATGGTTAGTAAAGTAACTGGATTATGATTGTAAGGCGTTTGGAAGTAATCCATTGGATAGTCTTCCATCTTTAGATCCCTTTTTTTTGGTAATTTTCAGGGGGTTGAAGTGGTGAACTCGTGTATATCGTAAAATGTTAGTTCTGATGATGTCGTCTAGCAAGACGATGAAAGCTTCACGATTAAACAATCCAGCTGAGAGAACACAATACAACCAAGAATGTTAAGTCACATCTTTGATCGCCTAAGTGAGATACATTCATGCTAGTGATTACGTTACTGAAGTGATCTATGGAGGATAGGAAGATTCTCCATAAAATGAAGGGTTTGAAACTCAAGTAGCTACATTTTTTTCGGATTATCGTATCTTCTGTCTCCACTCTATTTTATATAATAAATTTACTCGGGTCAACTCATAAACTTCTATCTGTACCGTTATAATACAAGTCAGTCAAGGTCCTCCTATGTACTTATGCTATGATACTACTTAGTTCATCTCATTTAAGAAGATGAAGGGGGTTACGAACAAGGTGCCTATTGGTTGAATTTACACCATTGGATTATATATTTTGACTTGTTTGTATATTTGCATAAGTCAAGTCACTCCTAAATCACTGATTCCTATCGTCTCAAGAACCTCAACACACCTCATGATAATAGTCAGTGAACTGATGGACTGTTTTGTCGACCATCTAGAACTCTCTTCTAACCTAATACAACTTCACCCAGGTAAAGCGTTGCTCCACATGAACAGTACATTCCCAAACTATCTCAGTCGATTAAGTGATATAGAGATAGAGAGGAAGGCCTAGTTTGGAGACGGACCACTCAAAGTGTACTTTATGTCATCACGTCTACAGTTTGACAGATAGTGGATCAGTCAATCAATAGGATCATGTTAAACAGTGAACTATGTATATATCAACTGTATTTCCCTTTGTTTCTGAGCCCTTTGGTCTTTCGACACCAATACACGTTTCTACACGTCCATTGTGTCTTCTCCATTAATTAATCGGGTAGGGAATCAACTAGAAATTTGTTAAATGTCGGTGGCTGACACTCGATATTTGCTCATCATTAGCGGCCTTAGCGTATAGGGTTTTTGAATCATAACACATCAGCATTGTTCATATAGTGATCCCGCTAAATGAAGGTGATACTAGGAAGATATCTGTGATCATAAACTTGTAATCGCTTTACATTTTCTATTTTCAAAGGCTAAGCTTCACAGCCAGATGACAGAACAGAACGGACTAAAAAGCAGTATACTCGTCGTTTGATAGATAATGCTAAATGGGCGTTGTGTATCCTATCTGAGATTTCGTGAGCAACCAGTTCGTTCGGTGCGATGCAACTCTCCAAGTCAGAAGAAACTTGAGTGCTGATTGAGTTGTGAGGGCGGTTGACACTTCCCGGCTGCCCACACCGTGGAGGGCTATTTCTTCTTAAGGTACCTGAAAGAAATTTGTGTGACCGCAGAGCCCATCGGACATCTGCTTGAGATCTGTCACACGAAGCCTTTTGAGTATGATTCTTTTGAACTTTTGTATTTTTGGGGCCGGTTGGTCGAAAGGAAATGACAATGAACCAACACCGCCGGCCCGGCAGACCGTGGGGCATGGTGGAGTGTGTTATTTTTGTGGCCGACCTTTTCTAACCCCCCCTTCCACTGAGAAGGCAGCATCAGCATGGCACTGCTGGTCATCCAAGGGAAACACCTTACTGCTGTCACACCCCATCCAGCTAGCAGCAGTACGACTTCGCCCTCAGACCCCATCATAGTGTAGCAATTTACACTATAATGGTAACTGCTTTTCGTCTAACCACTATCCAACAGACCTTTCTGGTATGGTAGGACATCGAGGGAACAAGTGTTCCACCAGCATAGCTCGTTGGGTCATTGTGATATGCAAGCCCAACCACCACGTCAAGGTAGCAGCTATCGGTCGGGCAACTCTCCAAGTAAGTGAGATGGTCAACACATTTCATCACCTCATTGCCTATCATTAAACTGGGAGTGTACTTGCAACAGACCAATTCTGGAGCATCATGACATAATGAAATTGAATTAATATCATAGAACCCTTTTGTTAGTGAATGATTATGGAGTTACAAGAAAGACAGATGAGAAGAACAACTATCATAGTTATACTACTATATTTTATTGTTTAAGTAATAAATTATTTCAAAATTTGTACACATAATTTATAAAGTCCAAAAAAACAGCATGTTTGTGCTCAATTTGAAGTAAGATAGAATTTTGCGATAACTGGCAATTGTTGAGATTACTTGGCCTATAGCATTACTCTTCATCAGTTTCATTTCCAACTTGATCGTTCATCTAAACGAAGATTTTTATTTGGGTAAACAATGAGTAGTATAATTGAAACTGAAAAATTCTACTGTAAACAAAACACAAATGATTAGTGTAATGTCAAATCTGGATTCAAAAATAAGACCGAAACAGGATGGCTGACTTCAACAAGAATAAACCATATGCGGATCAAATCGCAACGCTACGCTATGCATCATCATAGAACAGAGCATAGAATAGCAGTCAACTCTCTACCTCAACGTCATCGATTTTCAAAAGGCCTTCGACAGCATCGACCGAGAAGTAATTCGGCAGGCAGCTACTTCAACACTGCGGTTTTATTGCCAAAAAACCTTTATCAACCTCATTCAACACCAGCCATATGCCAAATGATCCTACATGCCAAGTGATTCACAATGGAAACCTCAGTGATGCCTTTGAAGTGAAGATAAGGTTGCCTCTTGTCATCCATGATATTCCTGATTGTAGTCGACTGTAATGGATTGGACTGGATCGTGCAAGAAACAACTGTGAGGAGCTGTGAGGAGATGGGAACACACTGTTTGACTGATGAAAAGACAAAGACACTAGAAGATTCGGATTCTGCCAACGATGACGATTTAAGTCCAATGCGTTGTTGCACAAACTCGAAGATGTACAGGCGAAAACTAACAATTCGGCAGAAGAGGCAACGAAGACGAGACTTCTTTCAGGTGAACTTGGGGAAGACAAAGTTGATGAAAATACTCAACTTGCAACAACAAGCACCATGAACGAGAGAAATCTGAATGGAGTTGTCTATGCAGGCAGCATTGTTTCAACTACAGTCGTCACAGGCACAGATGAGGACGTCAAAGCCAGGATCAGAGAAGCGTGGCAGGCCTTATCACATTAATCTAAAATCAGTGTGGAGATCTACTGCATTGCATTACACTTCACTCAGCATAAAGCGTGAACGAGGTTCGAATTTTCAACACTAGTTCAGTCAAGTTGAAGTCAATGCTTCTACTTGATGGTTGGTAGACTTGGCGCGTTACGGTAAGCATTTCCAACAAACTAGAGACAGACATACATGAAGAGCTGCCGCCTACGCTGGCTCGATAGTGAAGATCAGATGGCGATAGTAATGAGAATAAACAAGAAGGAAGTCACTCTGGCCTGGCAACGAACCAACCAAGCATCCAAGAATCTATTACCCAACAAATTTACAGAAGAAGAAGGTGGAGATGGATTGGATTGGATATAGACCAAGGAGACGGTTTGGGGATATCATACGCCAGACGAGGCCAGGCTGTCGAGTGTAAGCGAAATGGGAAAGGACGAGTTGGGTGTTCCGAGGGGAGGATGACATGGAGAAGATGGTGTGAGTAAGAAATGAAAGGTTATGGGCAGTCATGGAGCGAGATTAAGAAGACTGTAGAGAAGAGAGTAAAGTAGTGATGTGCTACTGAAATTCTATGTTCCACTAGAACCAAAGAGACGTACAATCATCAAAAAGTTGTCTAGTAATATTCTGGTACGTAATCATCATATTTAAGACTTGTGAACAGTTATGTGATGGATGGTTATTTACTGTCACAAAATGTTTCGAAGTTGAGTAAATAAAATAATGTTTTAAGCAAAATTAAATTATGCACACATTGAATAATGCATGAATAATGAACGCGCATTACATGTCCAAACCATCTTATTCGACTAATGTTCACAACGTTATCAATCAACATACCAGTCTTGTCTAGTACCACTTCTCCTGACCTCGACATTCCTCATATGGGGATTTTACCGGACTAAAGCAATGCTATGAAGACATTTGTTGACAACCATGTAAAAGAACTATTGGCTAAATAGTCGTGGCAAGTTTTCAGTTCCTATCCGTTATCACTTACTAGGACTCAGTCATGCCAAATCCACATTCATTTATCATATCTGTACTAAATCACTGGATCATGGATTAACAACGCACTGGAACAACTACTCTAAGTGGTTCATCCTTGTAATTCTCACTCAGTGTGTGATTAAAGCGTACAAAAAGTTGAATGCTATTCAATAATCTTGATTACAATTGTTCAGAGTAGACCAATGAGATACATCTACTACGTGGAGGTTTATATAACTACATACCTGTCCAAACCTTGGTACATGTAAGGGTATTCAAAGTGGCAACTCACTAGTTGAAAGTCAACTTCTTAAACTAATGAGGTACAACTAGAACTTGAGACACAACTTGACCCTTAATTGTGGTTTGACTTACTCAGTGATCACTTCCCTCGAGGTTGTTAGTACGTCTTGTTGACAAGTACAAAGTAAGACTTTCTTCTGACTACCTCCAGTTAACTAAGACAATGAGACTGTTAAGTATACCCTACAACTAATTGTCGTTTAATTCTCTTCTCTTTTTTTAAACAGTCATTGCGGTAAGCAGGATCATATTAGAAAAAAAACCCGACTATATACGAACTAACTATGAAAAGTTAGTAGATTAGTTTTGCAGTCATAGAGAAGTTACACTGAACGATTACCTGTAGTGATAAAAGTCGAACCTGATGATGACTGTTGAGTGTCTATGACAACTCACAATGATATTTTCAATATTTCAATAAGGACGGGTGTTTGATTGATTAATATTTCTTGTTATAACCTCGACGCCACTTGTTATATTCTTATAGCCACCACTTGATATAACGTGACTTACATATTTATGTGTATATGTCTGTGAGAAAGAGTGTGAAGACTTAAACAATAACTTTCAGATTTCACTTTTTGATCATCGTTTAGTTTCTCGGTAAATAGAAAAGATGGTGAAAGAACAGAAGATATACTGCAACGTCAAAATTTACAAAATACAACGGTTTATATATATACACATACAATGACCTTGACTATTTTTAGACCTCTCTATTGGTTTTCCTTACTTCAACCAATCTGATGCTTACATATTGGTTACACATGAATCTTCGCGAAACTTTGAAGTATAACGATTGGTTGTAAATGATTTCAAGGTTTCAATACTCCTGATACAAATTTGACCAATCATAATACATCTTATAACATTTCACGAAATATTTATTATAAAAAAATATCGTCTGAAATCATTATATTGAATACATTGAATTGTATTGTGGTCAAGGTCATTTTTCTGAGCAAAAAGAGTAGTTGGATTTTGACTTCGTTATAAACTATCAACACACATAAGTCTATTCAACAGGATTCAAGAGACAAGGTAACTTACTTCACTATTTAGTTCATCTTTTTCTCCTTCCACTAGACTTTCATCATTTTGATCATCCTTTTCAATTTTTTCATTCACTTTATCATCATCATCATCATCGTCTTCTTCTCCTTCTCTGCCTTTTTGTATTTCATCTAAGGGAATTTCTTCAATATTCTCAATTTCTCCATCCATATTAAGCTGATTATTAGTAATATCTGGTTGGTCTGATTTACTAGTTAAAGCAACACCAGCTTCTTGCATTAATGCCATTTCAGCCGCTAATAATTCTAGCTGACGATATTCATGATGTCTCTCTTGAACGACCTAAATGTTGAATAGAATAACAAAGTGTTAAGATATTCGTGGAAGTTAAATTGGATAATTTTTAATAGATAACAGAATAGAGAATGTAAGCGGAGAAAAACTGCTTATTTTGATGATCGATCACACAGCAACCTTGAGTATATTCATGTAGTAGGCAGTAAGTCAAACCATTTGTATGTACGAAGTCTAATGCGTCTACTACCGTGGTTGCTTAAGTCTCTGTAGGTAGAGGAGTGAGGTCCCAGCTCATAACCCACCGATCCTTGACTTGAAAATGAACCGCCTTAAGGATTCATTATAACTTTACACAAGTGTTATTTATATAGTGCTCCCACTCTTTAATTCAGTTAGATTTGGGAAGTAAAAATCTGGTTAGCAGTCCGACCTCGTAGCTCATTCAGTAGGGCATCGGTCCGAAAACCCGATTGGGATCCAAATTTTTATCTCACCTTCAATCATCATCCAGTATGCCAAACTACAGCTATCTCAGTCGAATGTAAGATAATGCTCCAAGACTGGTCTTTTGGAAGTACTTCCAGTTTAATGATAGGCAGTGAAGTGGTTGAATGTATAGACGACTTCACTTACTTGGGGAGTTGCATCGCACCGAACGAACTGGTTGCTCACGAAATCTCAGATAGGACACAGAAGGCCTGTCTGGCATTATCTATCAAAAGACGAGTACACTGCCCTCATTTGGTGGAGTCACCTTGTGAGCAATGTTGAGGTCAGGAGAAGGGGAGTGAGATGCTTTGAACATGTACTGTGCATGCCAAGGCACCACCTACCTCAATGTACCATATTAGGGGAGGTTGAACTAGGTTGGAAGATAGTTCTGGATGTGGGACCAGTCGATGAAGTCTCTGACTGTTGATTTCAGCCGCGTGAGAAGATGTAGACTAACAGTCTGGCTAGGGTCTTCGTGATGAGACGAATCAGTAGTTGAGGAGTGACTCTCAGTGATATGGCTTGAAATCGATCACATTAGCCATAATATACTCACTCTCTGACATCTAAAGGTTGAAAATTCGAAGTAACCGTTATCTTCACATTGTTGATTTGCTCATATTGCTTTGACTATTTTGATATCAGCCTTTTCTATATTCATCTTTTCATTGTATCCTAATGTAAAGTTTGGAGAGTTGAGAAGATGGACTAGTGTACTAGGTTCTATAGTGATTCAGTCTGTTTGTCTATCTGGTTGTTTTTAGATGGATTACTCGAAGTTTGCATGAGAATCCATGATCATTTATATCAACTAAGTTGAGTTTGAAGACACTTGCTTACCTTTGATGTTTGATAGTTTGCCTACGGTCATGAATATACACCTTGCAGAACAATCTATAGCTGAAATCGAACAAGTGTTCATTCCTCCCTGTTGTTATCATAATAATTGAGGTGTTAAGAAAATTAATGAAGTGTATCCTTCATTCATTTTCACTTATGAAGAAGAAAATGCCAGTCAGCTACATTTCTTGGATGTCTTGCTAAACAGAAGAGAAGATGGTTCACTTAGCAGATGTGTTTACAGGAAGACTACATCTATAAGTCAGTACATACATTTTCTTAGTCAGATACCAATTCAATACAAATTGAACCTGGTTAAATGCCTCACAACAACAATAAGAATATGTTCGAATGATCGAAATAGGCTATCCTAACTAGTTTCACTACAAAAACAGATAAACAAATCGAAGGGAAATCAACCTGGAATTATTACCATACAATAGAAAACCTTCTTCATGAAATTGACAGCGAACTTTTAAATCAGATATTCTCAAGAGCCATTAAGAGGACTTCATACACTGCACAACTCTGTTTATCGTTTTTCAGTCCGTCAATTGTTGTTACTTAGACAAAAAAAAGTAATTTTTCCTATGTTTGCCATTTTCTATGTGTATTTACATGTATACCTACTCGTACGGAGAAAGTTATATATATGAGGTACTGTTACATAACTGAACAGACGTGTTACTAGGCATATATTCTCATGTTTGAGAAATGCAAAGATAAAATTCATTATCTCAGAAACAATATCTATTCACCGCATATCACCTAGTCCTTCGATAGATAAATGAATTCACTGTTCACAAGATGCAGAAGCTGTGGAAATTCGAGATACAAATCTTACTTTCTACGTTCAGTAGAAGTGTGTACATCACTCTTTTGACCATGGAATACTTGATAAACAACTTTATCTATAAGATGGATGGTAGATAGCAGTGGATTACATCTAGACGCGAATTTCGCCCAATTGCAGACTTAATTACAACGAGCAAAGTTGTTCCCACAGGGACTGAAAACCAAGACCGATCAATTCAAAAACTATAGCGTTATCCACCTGCCCATTGAGTCACAGCAGCCACTTCTTATGAGACCAGTATACTTTATATGATGTTCGGTACATATTGTCCTGTCGCTGAGTAAACCAAATTCATCAGCAATGTGGATGTCTCGACATTGTCCGCATTTTCAATTTCGCTTGTTTTAATGCTCCAATTATTCCTCCTCTGTCAAGATCACTCCGATATACATATATTATTACCTACTGGAAGCAGTAAATAATGTCTACTCACTGTAATACTTTCAATATACAAACTTAAATAACCTCACAATCTAACACACACACTATCCAACTTTCACTCCTACCTTCTCTCCAGTTGACTGTGTCGACCACTTCACTTCACTTACCTGAGAAGTGAACTAGGATCAGCACTGGTGCACTGGTCAGTGGCCGATGAAATCTCTGAATGGATACTAAAGGCTCGGTTGGCTTTTGTCAACTTACCCCATCTGTGGCGCCGCCATCATATCCGATCGTCTATTAAGGGTCACGAGTACTGAACAGCAGTCCCCTCTCTTCTACTCTATGGCTGTGAAACATAGCCATTCAAGGTGGAAGACATGAGAAGGCTGGCTCCAGGTGCTTCATCACCCTTGCCTTCATACTACAGGCCGCGTTCTCTGCTGTCACCACGTGAATAAAGCAGACGTCAGGTATACAGTTTTACGGAGTAAAGGTTGACGAGGTGAGGTTATCAACCTTCATCGAGTGAGATGGTTGGGACACGTACTACGAATGCCCAGTCACCGATTGCCTCGTCACACAATCTTGGCCGAAGTAGATTGAGGCTGGAGAAAGGTGAGAGGTGGCCAGACTAAAACATGGCACCAATGTATGAAGTCTCTGACTGTTGGTTTGAGCCATGTAGGGCAATGGAGACTAGGTGGTTGGGGTCAGCGGGACAAGACGAACCAGTGGTTGGAAACTGACTCTAGGTGATATGGATGGGAAGTGATGTCAGTGGTGCAGATGTACACCCACACACATTATCCTCATCTTAACAACACTATACCGAATCTCACCATTTCCTCATTCTTCCTTTCTCTCTCTCTCTTCTCATACTTGATATTTCTTCTGGCTGCATTCTCTTATCTTCATCCTTCACCTAACTAACTTTCTACTTGATGTACTGATATGGGGTGTGGCAACTCGGACCGTTACGCAGTAATGCCTGGTCCTATGTTGATATTGATTGATTGATTGATTGATTGACTGATCTTCCTTCATCCACTTCACTCATGATGCAAATGTGATAGGTTTCATGATGAAGAATATTCATGAAATAGTCTGAAAACGTTTCACTTCACATCACCTAAATGGTTGACAGTTTTTCAATAGAAGATTGAACACACCACATAGTTCTCATTGTTCACAGATACACTAAGATATGAAATGTTAGCATATATTGAGTAGTTATTCCACCTAAATCTCCTCCTTCGAATACTTCAAAATTGTATTCACTTTCTCTCTATTCTACTGAGGATGGATATTTCTATATGTGAGTTTCTGTGGTAAAGAGATATCCTCTTGAGTACACCATTCGTTGTACACTGACTGTGTCATGTCTTGTGTTTTCAATGAAGTGATCTGTTTAGTGGGTTGAATACTTTGAAAACACTGCAAAAAGTAGATTATATGTAAATATTCAAGGCTTGAAGAAGGAGAGAGACGAAGTGATTGATAGGAAGTGAGCATAAATGAAGATGAATATTTTAAGTGATTAGTCAGTGAGGTGGATATTTGGGATTTCAACTTTCATTTTTCTTACTGTATAGTCAGCAGGCAGTTTATTGAACAACTTAATCCTTTAGTTGACTAATCAATGTGACTGATTAACTCCTCAACAATATGCACCATCAATAGTCTGAACGTAGGGAAGTGATGTGTTTTGATCTCTCTTTTCTAGTTATTGAGGCTTAGTTCTCGTTGTTGAGTTTCCTTCTCTAATGAGCAACGAAATCCCGTCTACTTTCTAGCTTTCAATTTCGATGAGGTGAATGTTTTTGTGGTTTTGTAATTTTAATTTATAGCTTGATTCAGGAGCCATAATTTGTTGAGAAGATTAAAGATCTATGGTGTTTCCTATTTGTATAGTCATCTGAATATTAATAGCAGGATAGTGGTAAAAGGTGTGTGGGAATTAAATGAAAGGGACATGTTGACAGTGTGAGTTTATTTACTAGAGAAGAGTTCGTAGATAATGTAGGTTGGTCAAGAAGAGAGATGGTGAGTGGTAAATAAGAAGGAAGTAGTGGTGGATTAGTGAGGTTGATTGTTTCTTAAGTACATCTATGTTAAGCCATATAAAATCATGTGACTGTCTAAGCATATTCTGCGTTAGTCTACTGAGGATGCTAAAAACTTCATTCCACGCCAAGTCATTTCATGAAGGCGAGAATGCGAACCCTGAACCTGATGTTAGCTCTCTGATTTGTAATCCCTCATGATGACAACTATCTAGCAAGTAAGGTTAGTTTGTTTGTATGACTCTCCTAATGGATGATCTTGTAGTCCGTATTATGATCACCCAATCTTTCTTTATGTGATAGAGCAAAATGATCAGATTTAAGTATTTCAGAGTATGCCTTCCCTCATACTCTCACAATTTATTTTGTTGCACATCTTTGTATTTTTTTAAGGGGATTAGAGTCATTCTTGAGTGTTGGCGGTGCTACCGTAGTGAAGACTTCCATGAACGGGTATACGTAGGATTTAGAAACTGTTCACACAGAAAGCATTAATCTGCATTCACTCTCGCAGCAGTTTCTTTGTTGTAAGATCTAGTGTTCAGTGTGTCCAAGAAGTATTAATGTGTATCCTAGAAATAAGGGATGACTGCTTCTCTAATAGATCAGTATTATGCTCTACCTTCAATCGACTTTAGATACAAACTCCAGTGTTGTTTCAAAGCTTATTGTTCCTCTATATTTGTGGTCGTGTTATCCGTGCCACTTGGTCGTCTGAATTTGATTAAGGATTGTAAAATTTAGGCTCATATGTGTATTTAGAAGCAAGAAAGTTGTTTACTGGAGAATGAGTTCCGAAGAGAACAGAAAGCCAAATCAGTTGAAACTATCAAGAACCATTGAAAGAAAGTCAACCGATGTGTTCGAAGAAATTATAATGCCAGTTTTCTCCAGTTGACAGATGCTTTGACGACTATGCACTAGTCAAAAATTAGAGAGACTAAATGCATAAACTGTATGTTACTTACTTCTCTGATCATCCCGTCTAACAGTAAACGGGCATCATTCTCTAATTCTATTTCTTCATCGATTTCTTCCATTAACCAAGGTAGGAATCCTTCTTCAATATCTTTAAAGAATAATAGTAGGGAAAAAAAATTACCATTTATTTCATTTTTAATGTAACTAAAGAAGCCACAAGGTCATGAGTTATATGTTTATTTTCATTGGTCAGTTGAGGGACAAAATCATCCGCCTACATGAAATCAAGGTTGTAATCCAAAACTCCTGGTTGGCGGTTGATGACCTTGAATGTTAATTTCAAGAACCGTTGTTATTGGTGGAGGACCTTATACTGGACGGTTTTTTCAGTTAACAAATAGTTAACTACTGAGAAGATTGACAGTTTATTCTACTTAGTTTACTAATAACTAATCACCTAAATATAACCGTTGCTACGGCACAGTATTATATCTTGTTTGTCTTTGAATTTCTTACCGGTTACAGTGATCCGAGTTTACTGTCCAATGTAGTCAAAATTTATGATTCAGTGTTGCAGTTTTCGTTTTATTCAACGATTTTGTTAATGTGTTTATGTATGCACTACTTTCTATGGTAACCCCTATTATAATCTTTGACTGTATAGCAGAATTGTCAAATTTATCCTAGATTATTATGATCTATCATTCTGTAGGTGTTAAACTTACTTTTGTGTGTTTGACATCTAACATAGTCCATCCATCCGAATCAACATAGGATCAGGTATTATTGCGTAACGGTCCGAGTTGCCACACCTCATATATCACCACATCAAGTAAAAAGGTAGTGCGGTGAAGGATGAATATAAAAGAATGCAACCAGAAGAAATATAAAGTATGAGAAGAGGGAATGAGAAAGGAAGAATGAGAAAATGGTGAGATTCGGCATAGTGTTGTTAAGATGAGGATAATGTGTGTGGGTGTACATCTGCACCACTGACATCGCTTCCCAGACATGTCACGTAGAGTCAGTCTCCAACCACTGGTTCGTCTTGTCCCGCTGACCCCAACCACCTTGTCTGCATCGTCCTACATGGCTTAAACCAACAGTCAGAGACTTCATACATTGGTGCCATGTTTCAGTCTGGCCACGTCGAGCCTTTCTCCAGCCTCAATCTACTTCGGCCAAGATTGTGTGACGAGGCAATGGGTGACTGGGCATTCGTGGTACGTGTCCCAACCATCTCACTCGATGAAGGTTGATAACCTCACCTCGTCAACCTCTACTCCGTAAAACTGTATACCTGACGTCTGCTTTATTCACGTGGTGACAGCAGAGAATACGGGCTGTAGTATGAAGGCAAGGGTGATGAAACACCTGGAGCCAGCCTTCTCATGTCTTCCACCTTGAATGGCCATGTTTCACAGCCATAGAGTAGAAGAGAGGGGACTGCTGTTCAGTACACGTGACCCTTAATAGACAATCGGATATGATGGCGGTGCCACAGATGGGGTAAGTTGACAAAAGCCAACCGAGCCTTTAGTATCCATTCAGAGATTTCATCGGCCACTGACCAGTGCACCAGTGCTGATCCTACTCCACTTCGCAGGTAAGTGAAGTGAAGTGGTCGACACACTCAACCACTTCACTCTCTATTGTCAGCCGCGGCACCGTCGAAGACCAATCTGGAGCTGCAATTTGCATTCAGATGGTGAGGACCGCATCCCAAGCATTCTCAGTCTCTCACTCAAAGTGTTCAGAAGATTCTATATCTTTTCAGCGTCTTCATTTCATAAGATTATTTCATCTGGCTATTCTAGGTCTAACAAAACTTCTCGTACGATTTGGTCAACCTCTGTGTAGTCAGGTGACGAGAGTGAGACCTCCATAAGAATATCTATAATAAAACTGAATAAGAATGGATGGAGTGGGTATAAAACCTAATCAGAATATATGATGAACTAGCTTTCTACTTACGTCCACATAGCCTAATATATTCAGTTAAACTGCGTTGTACTTACTATAACTTCTCTCTTCTTATCACGAATAAATCTCTCGAAATAGCCATCTGTGCTTAAGTACTTGTTGTTTTCTACTAATATGTGATTATTATTATTAATTTCTCCTTGGGTTCTTAGTGGAAAATAAGGATTCAGTATCACGCCTCCATTGCACTCTGTTCTCTGCACTCTTGTTAGTTTTCGCCTGTAGGTCTTCGAGTTTGTACGACAAGACATTAGACAGGAATCATCTTCTAGGGTCTTGGTCTGTTCATCGTATGCCCATCTTCCTACTGCTTACTGTTTCCTGCATGATTCAGTCGATCACAATCAGGAAGATCATGGGTGATAGTAGGCGGAAACCTTGTCCTACTTCTGTCTTCACTTCAGTGGTTTGACTGAGGTTTCCATTGTGGATCACTTGGCATGTGGCGTCTTCATATAGCTTTCGAATGAGGTTGATAGAGATTTGTGGCACTCTGTAATGTTGAAGTAACTACCAGCCAGATTACTTCTCGGTCGACGCTGTCGATAGCCTTTTCAAAGTCTATGAAGTTGAGGTCGAGAATCAACTCCCATTTTATGCTCTGTTCTATGATGATGTTTAGCGTTGAAATTTGATCTACACATGATTTGTTCTTGCTGAAGCCAGCTGTACTGTTTCGGTAGTAATTTTGAATCCAGAGCATCCTTTCGTCTCTCGAGAATGATGCGGCATAATATTTTGCTTGGGGTGGACAGCAGCATGATTCCTCGTCAGTTCTTGCAAAGGCTTAGGTCTCCCTTCTTTGGGAGTTTGACAATGTAGACCTTCCTCCAATCGACAGGTACCTTTCCTTCCTTCCAAACCTTATGCAGTAGTGGTGTGAACATGTCCGCTGATGTCTCTGAGTCTGTTTTCAGTGCTTCTGGAGGAATTCCACCTGGTCCTGCTGCTTTCCCAGATTTCAGCCGTTTTATGACATTCAGGACTTCTGCTTTTGTCAGAGGGCATGTGTTCACCGGTAGTTCTATCGTTGCAGGTGGTGGTCGATTCAAGAGTTTTTTGAAGTGGTTAGCCCATTGTTTCTTTTGTTTCTCCTCTTTGGTAACTAGCCTTTCTTCACTATCTTTCATTGGTTTCGTTTGAGTTAATCTCTTCCCTAACCTGGTTATTTGATATAATGTTGTCAGATCTCTCTTGCCTGCAGCCTGTTCTGTTTCAGTTGTAAGTGTGTCAAACAAGTGTTTTTTTGTCTTTGCATGCACTTTTCTTCATTTCCTCTTCCCTCTTAGTACGGTTATGCAGGTTTCTTTCCACATCTCTTCCAAAAAGTTCCAGTGTTCTTCCACGCAGTTTTCTTCGAGGATGTTGGATAGTGTCTCCCATTTTTTTCTGATGGCTGACGTGAAGATTTCCTTTGTAGTTTCATCCTTCAGTTTCTGGGTACTGAACATGAACTATCACCAACTTCTTTAAAGGCTTCTAATATGTGATCAACTTTACTAATAGTACATTATCTAGAAGGTTAGTAGAGATTACTATTTTGGAGGTTTGCACAATTAACTACATTTACCTTCGCTACTAAATCTACCCATTTCAGATCATTGTTTAGATCAAGTAGTATAGGTGATAGCTGGTTCAGAAAAAGTATTGATGAGATATGAATGATGCAGGTTGAGAAATAAAGTTGAAATCTCCCTTGAATCGAATTCATGATGAATACCAACTCAAAATCAATGAATCAATCCTCACAAACCTTAAAATTGAATAAGTATTAGTTACAAACTTTACTTATTTAGTAGTGTGATGAGTTTTAAGGAGTTTTTTGTATATATAATGTAAGTGTTATTTAGTGTTTAAGTTGATTTTAAGACCATAATCATAAGTGAGGCGGATACTGTACGAAAATGTATGTCGTTTAGGAAGAAATCTCTGATGTTGACAAAGATTTATGAATGGTTACATTGAATCCTTGATACTTAACTTCTAAAAGAAATTTACATGATAAAAATTTGAATTCATTTATTTCGCGCCATTTTACCGGCTCAATTATATCACTTGGTTTTATCACTTTTAATGGTTATTTTTCCGCCTTTAATATACTAATTTTTCCATCTGCTTCATTACACTACACTGAATATTGAATCCCTCAAGGTTGTAATTATAACGAAGCCTGATTGGTTATTCCAGTGGTTGTTGGGGATGACCTTGAAAATCACTCACAGCGGCCACTAAAGTCAAGGTCAAGGTTAATTAACTATAGTGTGACATTTAGAAAGAAACTCAATAAGTTAAAGATAATATGAAGGTTCAATAATTCTCAATATTTCAATTTTGTCCAGACGATCTTTTATAAGAGTTTTATAATATTTATCTGACTGAGTATTTTCAAAGTTTTGTAAAACAAAGAAAAAGAGAATTAATTCTATTTGAAGGTTTGTAGAGGTTTATGAATTGATTTTAGTTTGGAATTCATTATGAACTGACATCAATTGTAGGAATACTGCAGACCTAGGAGCACTGGAAAACTGTTTCGTTCGACTAGTATGACACTCAGCGGTGCGCATCCATGATACGGTCAAGGATCTAACCCGTAGTCAGCACGTTACCATTGAGTCACTGGATCAGAAACCAATGGTCCATATTTCCTACTTCTGTCAGTTCATAATATTGCCCAACATGTATCCAATGTCGTCGTTAATTAACTATGCTCATGTTCGACTTGGTTGACACCATTGATGATGACTTCTCATTGGAAATTCGGGAATCACCTCATGAAGCTAGTCACCAATGAACGCTAGATTAATTCTATCTGGAGGTTTGGAAAGGCTTATTCGTTGAAATCAAAATGGTCTCTCTCCATTGATCAATTAGTGTGTTATTGCCAGCTGCTTGTTTGTCAGTTAGCCCTCTGAAAACTTCAGCTCAGACTATAAACTGTCAACAGTAACTTGAATTAAAAGTTAACAACAAATGTGTGTAATACTACCCACCTCTTTCAACTGGATCATAAAAGTATCCATTTTCAGCTAGATTATTGAATACATGTGGTTGTAAATCAGCTAAATATGCCTTAGCAAAGGCTTGTGCAGCAACTTTAGCTAACAATTCTCTTTCTTGTTCTGCAATAGCTAAAAATTGAGCTTTACGTCTTTCTTTTTCTTCTCTGTAATTAAAACAAACGGATGATTTGTGTAAATGAAGTTCAATTGAACATTGAAAGAGTATAGAAATTAACTATACATACCCAGAAAAAAAGAGAGAAATGTCACTGTGTAGAAGATCTGAAAAATTGGCAGGAGAAACTTCACAATCTTAGAGTGATCGAGTTGTCATTCAGCCAAGTATTGTGATGTGATGTCATAAAATGAATTTGGTTAACATGTTGATATAATTTTAGGGTTTGTAGGGATTTATTCACTACTTTTCTGGGTTAGTATTCATCATGAGCTGATATCAGTTAGAGGAATATTAGAGACCTTAGAGCATTAAACATTTGTTTCGTCCTAAGTGTCGGACTCCTCAGCAGTGCATATCCATGACCTCACCTTGCCAGGGATCGAACCCGCGACCTTCACGTCCTGCTGCCATTACATTACCACTTAACAACTGGATCCTAGTCAAGTAGTCCATACTTCCTGCTTTTGTCAGTTCACGATATATCGCGGTCTCCATCCAATACGATCGCTGAGTAACTGTCCTCATTTTCGACTGGATTAGCTCTACCGGTTGTAACTTCTCATTGAGACTCTAAGAATCACCTGCCGAAGCGAGTCATCAATGAGCACTAAATTAATTCAATTTTGGTGTTTGTGGGGATTTATTTATTGATTACAGGTTGGCATTCATTATGCCGGTCATGGGCTCTCACTGATGATTAGTTTCATACTAGGGCGAAACAGCTGTCCAGTGATCCAAGTTTTCTAATATTTTCCTAACTGATATCATTTCATGATAGGTTCTAACCTGAAATCAATAAATAAATCCTCATAAACCTCAAAATCGAATTCATCAAATACTCATTGGTGACTCACTTTCGGAGTTGATTGCCAAAGTATCAATGAAAAGTCGTCACTTTTTAGGTTAACAAAGTCGAACAAGAGGATAGTTGGATGGAGATCGCGCTACATCGTGGACTGAATGATCTAGCGGTGACATGCTGGTAGCCAGACCTATACATATTGGGTCCTTTCCCTGGCGGGGCGGGGTTATGGAGGCGTACTGCTGAGGATTCCCATACCAGGACGTAACATCTATTCAATGCTCCCAAGTCTTCAGTTTTTCTCAAACTGATATCAGTCCATGACAAATACAAACTCCAAAACATATTAATAGCCTATGTACGTCAGTTGCAGTGATAAATTCAGGGCAGGACTTGTCAATTCATCGGTTTATTATTTATAAGATGGGACAAAAGTCTGGTTAAAAATAACAAAAACGAATTATTATTATTATTATTATTTGTCCTAGTGGAACATACGGCTTTAGCAGCACACCGCCATTTCACTCTCTTCTGTGAAGTCTTCTTAGCCTAGCTGCACAACTGCCCATAACCTTTCATTTCCTCATCACATAATTTCCTCCATGTCAACCTCGCCTCGGACACCTAACTTGTCGTTTCCCATTTGGATTCAACTCGATGGCCTGGAGCGTGATGTTCCCGAATGATCTCAGTGTATGTCCAATCCACCTCTATTTTCTGCTTCTACATATTTGCTGGGCGATAACTTCTCGGTTGGTTGGTTGGTTCGTTCCCAGAGTGACTTCCTTATTGCTTATTCTCATTATTCTGGTCATCTGATCTTCAGTGTCAGTATCGAGTGAGCGTAGGCGGCAGCTGATGATGTATGTCTGCAGTTTGTTGGAAATGCTTTCCGTAAAGCGCTAAGTATCTCAGCCATCACATAGAAGTACTGACTTCAACTTGACTGACTTAGTGTTGAAAATTCGAACCTCGTTCACGCTTTATGCTGAGTGCAGTACATATTCACACTGGTTTCAGATTAATGCAGGAAGGCCTGTCTTGCTGTCTTTCTGATCCTGGCTTTGACGTCTTCATCTGTGCCGGCTGTATTTGAAACGATGCTGCCTAGGTAGGTAGGTTGGTTATGACTGGTGCTGGTTGTTGTTCATTGGGTATCTTCATCAACTGTGTCTTCGTTACGTTCACCTGAAGGAAGTCCCGTCTTCGTTGCCTCTTCTGCCGAATTGTTAGTTTTCGCCTGTACATCTTCGAGTATGTGCAACAACACATTAGACATAAATCATCATCGTTGGCAGAATCCGAATCTTCTAGTGTCTTTGTCTTTTCATCAGTCAAACAGTGTGTGCCCATCTCCTAACAGCTCCTCACAGTTGTTTCTTGCACGATCCAGTCCAATCCATTTCAGTCGACCATAGTCAGGAATATCATGGGTGACAAGAGGCAACCTTGTTTTCACTTCAAAGGCATCACTGAGGTTTCCATTGTGAATCACTTGGCATGTAGGATCATTTGGCATATAGCTGTTGGATGAGGTTGATCAAAGTTTGTGGTATTCGATAGTGTTGAAACAGCTGCCTGCCAAATTACTTCTCGGTTGATATTGTCGAACGCCTTTTCAAAGTCAATGACGTTGAGGTGGAGAGTTGACTGGCATTCTATGCTCAGTTCTATGATGATGCGAAGCGTTGCAATTTGATCCGCACATGATCTGTTCTTCCTAAAGCCAGCCAGCTAGCGTGTTCCAGTCGTAATTTTGAATCAAACGCATCCCTTAGTCTCTTCAAGATGATGCGGCATAATATTTTACTTGCTTGAGTTGGACAGAAGCCCGTAAGTAGAACAAAATCTTTAAGAACAATGCGAAAAGGTTGATAAAATGCTATTCAGTCTATAGAAAGTCAAGATTGGAATTGTTTTGTTTTAAACGCAAAGTTTAGGTTTAGTTGAACATCATATCTACAGCTTCCACTGTATAAAGAATGCGTGAAAAGACTGCAGATGAATGCGGTTTATCACAGTTAAGTCTGTTCTAGCATCAATTTGATGTCCTATATCAATAAAATGTACTAATATATAATTTTTAATGGATCTGACTTAACTTTTTTTCCAATCATACCGGTAGATGTTTATCACATATCCACAGTAACTGAGTAAAACCTTCTATTTATTGCTAAGGGTGAGGGTTATGATAAAGTTTTGATCGCCGTATCCCTTTTGAATCACAGACACACTCTTATCGATTCATGTTTGTGAGTATCATTAGCGATGTTTCCTGTTATAACTCAACTTATCACCGCAATTGAAGTACATACGTACACTACCATTCACAAACTTAAGCAATGTAAGTGTATTTATAACTGCATACCTATTTTAAAATGCAGATTAGTAGAGCCTGAGGTTAAAATAACCGCGTTGACTATTTATCTGAGGCATTTAAGTAGATGTAGACTACCTCATACTGAGGACATCATGCATCAGGCTAGGTGCTCGAGTGGAACCCAGATGGGAAACGATGAGTTGGGCATCCCAGCTGAGGGTGACATGGAGGAGATCGTGCGAGGAGGAAATGAGAGTTTGTGGGCTGTCGTGGAACCAGGTTCAAAAGTTTGCAGAGAACACAGTACATTGGAGATGTGCTACTGAAGCCCTATGTTCCATTAGGAACCCAATGGACAAATAATAATGATAATAGACTACCTCATTGGGATCCCTGAGATGATAAGAATTACTAATTGAGAAGTCTTAATGGTATGACTGAAATGTTCACCTTTCACTGCATAGCTAATCTTTATAACTTACTGTATACGTCTTTCACGTTCTGTAAGTCTTGCAACTTCCAAAAGATCCGCTTGACGCATTTCTTCAAAAGCATTCTGTTGAGCTCGTATACTAGCCAATTCTTCTTCTTCAGATATTTCTAATAAAGATTGTTCTATTGTCTTCCCAATTAATACTTCTAGAATAGGTCCAACTTCCAAATCAAAGTCGAATAACTTAAAATTGTAATAAGAAAAAGGAAATCATCTCATCCTTGCGATAATAATAATAATGATAAGTATAAGAGTGGAGAGGTATTCCAGTTGAAAACTTCTGTTTCATTATGACTTTTAAAATCTACTTCAAAATCATTTCATGTATGATAAGTGAAGTGTTTGAAACCACCATCCCGTCAGCCTACATTTATATAAGCTTGACTTCATCTCCATTTTATGATAAATACTCTAATTTATATTACATCATCATTTTTCCCTTGAGTTCCTAGTGAAACATAGGGATTCAGTAGCATGCCTCGGATACCCAACTCGTCGGTTCCCCTTTGAATTCCACTCAAGCACCTAGCCTGGTGCGTGATGTCTCCTAACCGTCTTCTCAGTGCATGCCCATCCCATCTCCACTTCATTCCACTGCATATTTGTTGAGCGATAGGTTCTTGGTTGGTTGGTTCGTTCCCAGAGTGAGTTCTTAGTTACTTATTCTTTCTGGCCAGCTTATCTGATCTTCAGTATCAAGTGAGCGTAGGCGGCAGCTGTTGATGAATGTCTATAGTTTGTTGGAAATGCTTTTCGTGACGTGCCAAGTTTGTGAACCATTTAGAGGTAGTGACTTGAGTGGATTGGTGTTGGAAATCCGGATGTTGCTCATGCTTTATGCTGAGTGCAGTACATCTCCACACCGATTTCAGATTAATGCAGGAAGGCCTGTCTTGTTATCTTTCTGATCCTGGCTGGCTTTGACGTCCTCGTCTGTGCCACCTCTAGTTGAAACGATGCTGCCTAGATAGGTGAAAGAGGCTACTTCCTTTAAGTTTCTCTCATTGATGGTATATTGCTGTGAAATGTAACTACTCGAAATGACACAGTTCTGTGACAATTCCTACATTGATCTGTCTATCTATACCCAGTTCACAAGAAAATGATTTATACCTATCCAGCATAGTGATTCAAACAAGAAAGAAACATTTACAACCGGATATTTTAAGCAGATTCCCAAGAGTTTATAATCATGGTTGGCGAACATTATCAGTGTTATATTGTTTCGTCGAACACACAGATAACAAAGTTTTCCTAGACTTCTTTAGTCGGTAGATCCTATCACAATTAAACAGTGGGGAACGAGAAGAGGGGGATACGTGGACAAGAATCTATAAGATTTGGATTTCGCCGATGACTTAAGTCTGATGTCACACAAACTTCAAGATCTACAGGTGAAAACTGACAAGTTGACGGAAGAAGCAGGGCAGCGAAAACAGGACTTCAAGTGAATATAGCGAAGACAGAAGGGATGAAGAAACTCAACCAACAACAACAGCAACAACAAGCTTCAATCACCATCAGCGGGAGTAACTTAAAGTAAGTAGCCTCTTTCACCTATCTAGGCAGCATCGTTTCAACTAGAGGTGGCACAGACGAGGACGTCAAAGCCAGCCAGGATCAGAAAGATAACAAGACAGGCCTTCCTGCATTAATCTGAAATCGGTGTGGAGATGTACTGCACTCAGCATAAAGCATGAGCAACATCCGGATTTCCAACACCAATCCACTCAAGTCACTACCTCTAAATGGTTCACAAACTTGGCACGTCACGAAAAGCATTTCCAACAAACTATAGACATTCATCAACAGCTGCCGCCTACGCTCACTTGATACTGAAGATCAGATAAGCTGGCCAGAAAGAATAAGTAACTAAGAACTCACTCTGGGAACGAACCAACCAACCAAGAACCTATCGCTCAACAAATATGCAGTGGAATGAAGTGGAGATGGGATGGGCATGCACTGAGAAGTCGATTTGGGGACATCACGCACCAGGCCAGGTGGTCGAGTGGAACCCAGATAGGAAACGATGAGTTGGGCGTCCCAGCTGAGGGTGACATAGAGGAGATCGTATAAGAAAGAAATGAGAGCTTGTGGGCAGTCGTGGAGTCAGGTTGAAAAGATTTCAGAGAATACAGCTCATTGGAGACGTGCTACTAAAGCCCTGTGTTCCATTAGGAACCCAAGGGATGAATAATAATAATAATAAATCACAATTAAACTCGTGGTAAATACAGAATATTTTTTCTAAGCGAAAAACATAGTTCAGTTAGCAGATTGAACTTATGACTTTCAAATCTTACTTTGAAATCTCACGTGTTAAGCATTCAGTCATTGGGTCACAGTTTAATGGTATGCTTGGTAGACATGAAGTGATTTACATACAATTTAACTTTGTTATATCGTCTTTGAACTGATCAAGTTCTTTGAATACTACTACTGGTTATCAAGGTGTCAGATTACCTTCAGAAAGCTACTATGTTATAGGTTTGTATGATAGGGCTGTTGCAGGCGAGTGGAACAACTCACATGATTCTACTACATAAATTACCATCCATTAAAACTGTTAGTAAATATGTTGTCAATCTCTAGCTTGATGAGTCAGCATTCGGGCCCCGTAGATCACTTGGTAGAGCATCTGGTCGTTAACCCATTGGTTACTGGTTTGAATCCGGTCGCCATCCAGATTTTCATCACACCTTCAATTATCACCCAGTATAAATACTATTCTACCAAGCTAAGGATATCTCACATAGTCAAATGATAATCAATATGATGCTCTCCCTTTCTGATTCAATTAGATTTGAATTAGGATTAGATGTCTTGACTCGGCAACGCGTCAGGTATTCACATGGTAGTCAGACAAAACCTTTAGTGATTGAAGGGAAATCAAAATCTGGTCAGAACTCGGAACCCGTAGCTCAGTTGGTAGAGCATCAGGCTGGTAACCCGATGGTCTCTGGTTCGAATCCGACTACGGTTCAGTATAAATACTAGTCTGGTAAACTACGACTATCTCAGATAGTCAAATGATGAAAATCTGATAAGTAACATTAGACAAACATCAGTTGAAGTTAAGTAGGAAAGTGAGAGCTTACTAATTCAAATAAGCACAAATCAGTTGAAATGGTTCAATCTTTCTGTAAGAACTAAAAAGTCTGTTATTCCCCCGATTCACATGGCTTATCCTATACTGTTTTTGTTGTACGATTTCGAATTGTGAATATATATGAGTTCCCAATTGTCTAACTTATTGTTACATGTATATCTGTTGACTTAAATACTTCGATAAGGTGGACTGTTTTTCGTCAAGACAAAAACTATGCAATAATATCATAAGATTGATTATCTTTCTGAATGTAACTGATTACTAACTATCTGATGGTCATTTCAATGAATCAAATACTTGTACAAGAATTACTAGTAGGCTATATGGTGATCCGATTGTTAATCAAGTGTTTATAGACTTTTAGATTATGTTGTAACAATAGGAGGATTGTCATACCGCATAACATCATCATCATCATCACAACTTACATCTCCTTCATATATCTGAGTTATAGCATCCATACCAACTTTTGCTGGTACATATAAAGGTGTTGGTGGTCGATCAAGAAATTCATCTGTTTGACATTGTTCATCAATTTCTTCAACAAGATCTGTTAGTGCCTCTAAATAAAGCTCTGTTTGAACAGGTTGATGTATTCTTCCATCAAATGGTAATGGTGATTTCGGTCGAAGCTAAATAATGTTAAAATATAATGTTTAGTGTAAAAACAACTGGGAATATCCCTCTGTATTATTGACTTACATAGTTTTCAATAATATAATTATTCTTATTTGAATATTTAGAAAATACTGGGTGATGATTATAAAGATTAAATAAAAATTTTAATCGCTACCGGAATCGAACCAGTGATTACAGTTTATTACTTGATATAATAATTCAGTTGACTATTAAACGATAGTGGATAAATAAATAAAATTCAGGATACTCATTACTTTCTATTTTAAACTCGTCAGCTAGATGTACCTACTTCCCAGTGAATGTCGTCACCCTTCAGGATTCAGTAGGGTAGTAAATAATGCTATTGAATTTAGAGGTAAGTATATTCAACTGAAGAGTTCCAGATAGCATGAAATAAACGTGTTGTATTCTACTGTTAATCACTACTTATATTAACCAAAAATACTGGAGATATTGAAGCATCCCCATTTGAGCCCATAGGCGAACCCATCACCTCGCCCCCCAAGGATCGAACCCAGAACCTTAAAGTTCATCAAATGAATAAATACTCAACATTGTCATTGGATGATGGTCAGGTTATGTCATGAACTGATAGAAGTAGGAAATATGAACCATTTGGTTCTCACTCAGTGGTTAGCACAATGGTAACATGCTGACCATAGAACCTGAAGGTGGCCAGTTCAAATTCTGAAGGCAAGATCATGGGTACACCCTGTCAAGGAGTCGCATAAAGAAAGAAACACCTCCCAGGTTTCCAATGCTCCTTCACTTGATATTAGTTTATGATGAATTTCAACTTGAAAGATCACTAAAGTTCCCCCACAAACCCCCAAAGATAAAATCTGTCTATTTGTGAGAAGATTGAAAAAATTTCCTCCATGGAATAACTACTAATTATTATCAACTCCCAACATGACCACTAGTGAATTGTGAAGAAAAACAGTGTTAAAAAATTCTCCACATATTGAAAAATGGCTGGCTGATATATAAGTTACAAAAAGGATTTCCTCGTTGACATTTTCTGTGTTTGTCATTATTATTATCATTTGTCCCTTGGGTTACTAGTGGAAAACGGGGCTTCAGTAGCATGCCATCATTCCACTCTCTTCTCTACAGTGTTTTGAACCTGGTTCCATGACTGACCATAAACTTTCCTTTCTTTCTCTTAACATCTCCTCCATGTCATCCTCGAATGCCCAACTCATCCTTTCCCATTTTGGGTTCCACTCGATGGCCTGTCACGTGATTTCACCAGATGGTTTTCTCAGTGAATACCCAATCCAATCCATCTCTACTTTCTGCTTCTGCACATTTATTGGGCGACAGCTTCTTCGTTGGTTGGTTCGTTCCCAGAGTGACTTCCTTGTTGCTTATTCTTATTATTCTAACCATCTGAGCTTCAGTAACGAGCCAGTGTAGGTGGCAGTTGTTGATGAATGTTTTTAGTTTGTTGGAAATGCCTTTCGTAACGCATCAAGTCTCTGAACCATCACACAGAAGCTCTGACGTCCTGATCTGTGCCACCTGTAGTTGAAAAAATGCTGCCTATATAGGTGAAAGAGAAAACTTCTTTTAAGTTTCTCCTGTTGATGGTGATTTGAGCTTCTTGTTGTTATTGTTGATTGGGTATCTTCATCACCTCTGTCTTCTCCACATTAACTTGAAGTCCCGTCTTCGCTGCCCCGCCTCTCCTGTCAACTTGTTAGTTTTCGCCAGTAGATCTCCACGTTTGTGTGACACTAGATACAAGTCATTGGCGATATCCAAATCTTCTAGGGTCCCTCCATCGGTCCAGCCAGTGTACGCCCATCTTCTCGCTCTTCACGGTTTGCTGCATGATCCAGTCGACCACAAACAGGAAGATCATCGATGATAGCAGGCATCCTTTCCTTACTGTCTTCACTTCAAAAGGCATCGCTGAGATTTCCATTTTGGATCACTTGGCATGTGGTGTCCTCATATAGTTGTTGAATGAGATTGATAAAGGTTGGTAGTACTCCGTAGTGTTGAAGCAGCTGCCTGACAAATTACTTCTCGGTCGACGTTGTTGAAAGCCTTTTCAAAATCAATGAAGTTGAGGTAGAGAGTCAACCCCTAATTTTATGCTCTGTTCTATGATGATGCGTAGCGTTGTAATTTGATTCGCACATGATTTGTACTTCCTGAATCCAGCCTGTTAAGGTCATAATTTCGAATCCAGCGCTTCTTTTGCTTAATTTACCTTAAATACTATTTGACGGCTAACTAAACACTTCACTTCAGCGTAACCCATGGAAATCCGTGCTTAGATTTTATTTTCAATATATTTGCTGAATAAGCAATCGTCTTCAGTAGCATAAGAATCTAGTTAAAAGTGCATCAATCAAATTTTTCTTACTTAACAATACTACGTGAATAAACTATTGAAAATGATAGTTAAGAATGTAATTGTGGCAACCATTTGCCACCTAGAACGCTCAACGTCTCTGAAACCATTAACACTACTAGCTTCCAACACCTCATAGTACCATCTTAGAAGACTTATGCACCTTTAGACGCAATTTAGACTGAGAATTTATCACTTCACCAAGTGATACAATAGATGGAAGGAGGTACCGAGTCAGTAAACTACCCAATTGAAGGTAATTTACTCGAACACCTGTGGGCGCGTTAAAGCCTTTGATGAGATATCGGATGAGTTTTGTCCATCAAGGATGCCCACTCTCTCTATTCTTACTCGATTTCATGATAGATGTTCGTATGAAAATCTCCCTCTCGTCATCTGACCACAGGAGAAATTTTGGTAGACGTAGAATACGCAGATGACACTGTCCTGTTTAGTGAAGATGCTGACAAGAGCCAGAGTCTTCTGGACACCAGGAGTTCGTATGCGTTCCTCGCCGCCAAGTGGGAATTGTTGCTCCCAAACGGGCTTCAACGGTACCCTGACTAACAACAGAAAGTGAATTGGTTGAGCGAGTTGAACACTTCACTAACCTGGGTAGTCGGATCAATCCTGATAGGTCATTGGCCGACGAAATCTCTTCACGGATACAAAAGGCTGGACTGGTTTTTGCCAACTTACGCCTTCTTTGATGCGGCTGCGATATTCGATTGCCTATAAAGGGTTGTGTGCACTGTGACTATGAAACATCATCAATGAAGGTGGAAGACATGAGAATGCTTGAGGTGTTTGACCACCACTGCCTTCGTAGTATAGGCCGTGTCTCATGGCGTCACCAAGTGAGTAACACAGAAGTCAGATGTCAAATTTTAGGCAGGAGAGTTAAGACAGTTGATGGTGTTGTGAACCTTCATAGACTCAGATGACTGACACATGTGTTAAGTATATCTAGCCACCGTTTGCCTCGTCGCACAATGTTAGCCAAAGGAGGCCAAGGTTGGAAAAATCCTCAGGTTGACCAGACTAAAATATGGCACCAATGCATGAGGTTGTTGATTGTTGTTTTGAGCCATGTAGGGCAACGCAGACTAGCCGGTTGGGTTGTTATCCAGAATCCTGAAATTTCTGCACATACATCAGAGTAAAAATGTATCTTTAAGTGTAGGAATGATTAGCAGACTTATGTGCAGATGATTTTTTCCGATTAGGTTATAAAATTTGTACGAAAATTGAAAACGTAGTCAAGATCTTAAGAAGTTAACGATATAATATGACTCCTGTTTTGAGGGATTAAGATTTTCATGATGATCAGTATTTGGCTAACTAAGGTTTATTGCTTTTGAGAAAATAGTTAGCAATATCTAAAACAAGGGAGAAAGATAGCCAATAAGGCAGATTAAGTTCATTGATGAATTTTATCATGCGACACGGGATTACTGTACAACAGTTCAAGTTGCCAAATTTCAGAATTGCATGTTATGCTAGAAAGCATCTAGATGGAAGATCAAGAAGTCAGAAGGAAAACAATGAAAAGTAGTGGAGTGTTATGCGAAGAAAAGAAATGGGTGTTAAGCAATAATGAAGTCTGATATGAAGATGAATTGCGGATGCATTTTCGCCAATGAGATTGATTTTGAACTTGATCCACCTAGTCTTAAACCAGTGATTTAAGTGAAGTATTCACCAAGGTTACCTCTTGTTGTTAGAGCAGAGCAGATTTCTCCTGGAGTCAGCATTTATTTTCTAGTGGCGCGAAACTTATCTCAGCTATTCCCAATCTATTAATTAGGGTGCTAAAAAGTGTCGCATTTTATGAACATCTATATCTACCAGTCTTATCATTTAGTTAGTCTAGATGTATTAGATAAATTCTTGTTAAGTAAGATGACGAAAGACTCATTATGGGCTGTGATACGGCTAAAGGTGTTCAAATACACAGCTTTCAATGCAGTAATGTGCTTACCTATCACCTTTTTACGCTGCAGATACTGTCATTAGAACTTTTAATCAGTAGGGTTAGTTTTCCTCAATATTCAGAAAAATACAGTCGGCATCGGGCACTGGTAAGTTTGGGCGTGTTCTAGAATCTGCTCGGATGATGAATATTTGGTCAATACCTCAACAACTAGGTCGGAAACCTGTGTAGTCTCCTTGAGTTTGTTATTTTCAAGCTTCTGTTAGGTGTCTAATGATTATAAAACACGATAATACAAGAAGATTTCTGTTCGTTTTTGGGGACTGGGACAACCAGTATTTGAAACCAGTCAGGGAGGATGACACCTAATTTTCATCTGTAAGTGATGAAGTATAGACCGGAATAACGCGATAGCCAGAAGCTGATAAAAAATGGTTTGTTCTCAACTAGACTGTGTTCCTAAAAGCAAGAGAACTTTATTCGTATTATATCTTGAAAAATCTCCGTAACTAGAGAACAGCAGTTATCCAGTCGCTTCAAGATTGCCATAAAATGAACTGTCGTTACTTCCTCCCATTATCGATATGTTTGTGGTATCAGTACAAGCGTTTGCAAGAAAACGCTTTATGCAACTAATATCAAATACACGGCCGGAAAAAATAATGAATTTTTCGGTTACAAATCTAATAACTGTCACTACAGTATCTTTAAAGAAGTGACACATGGGTATTATGAAACCATTGAAAATCACTACACAATGACTACCAGCATCATTGACTTGTGAATACAAAAGTATAAATTCGCTATTCAAAGACTAATAAGTCGTCAACTCCAAGCGTGACGTTCATGTATCCATCACGGATAAAAAATCCAGATTTTACCGCCCAAACCCAACATTCTGGGTGGGTATTGTAATCAAATATGGGTTTATATGTGGTTACCTTGCTCTTGTCATATGTGACAACTATATGGTTGATTCAAATGAGAAATAATCTAATACTTATAGGTTTGTCAGTGTAAATGTTTGCGCTCTTCACTCATATTTAGTAACACTGGGATACAATTAGCGACGAACATCAAGCTCTATGTGTCACAAATAATTCCTCTTGGAGTCCTTATAGGTTTTTAAATACTTTCATGGATCAGACTTTACCAAACTTTGATACTTTGTTATTAGTCAAGTGTTCATATTATGAGTAGGTTTTAGTTGATTAATTTCCCAAAAACATGCTTTTTGATGTTGAGTTGCCGCAAAACATTGTGGATTATTGAGGATGCTTAGTTGTAGGAGATTTCAAAGCACTATCGGTTGACTGGAGTAGGTTAACAACAGAGACATCGTGCAACTCGTCTGATTTCCTTGGCCGTTATACAGCACATTGAAGCAGTAATCCAAAACAATCATCACTATGCTCCATCAGTTCTAGATCTAGTTTTCTTGTGCACAGATGATGTAAACCTAATCCTAGGTCTTTTCGGCTTGGCAAAGGTAATCATGCTGCAGTTATCTTCAGATTCATGGCGGCCGTCTTGTGCCACTCTAGCTAAAACCAATGTATGGGAATCCAATATGGCAGCTCTTAACCTATTAGCCTCTTCGGAGGACTGGACAATTAATTCAGGAGCCCCAGTTGAGGCTGTGTAATGCTGCAATACAAATGTACTGCTTCGATCCATCGTTCTTGAATATGCTTTGAAATATGCCTTACACAGGCTGTACTACAACACCTGAAGAGGTCGTTTTCTTTTAGAAACTATTGGAATGATACATTGCAGTATACGCGCTTTAATCTAAGAGATGGAAATTAACTATTTAATTGAAGAAGACAGATACAAAGTAGAAACTATGGCTATATAGTTTGGTAGGTTATTTACCTAGAGACCTTCTATGCACATCGACTGAATTGATGTATACAAGACACTAAATACTCTGGATACCGACAAGTCAGCGGAACCGAATGAACCAAATTCGAGGCTACCCACAGAGGTTTCACCCTACGTAGCTGGCCCATCAACTACTATATTAAGACTGCCACCAGTGAAGGCATACTCCTCAATAACAGGAAGGATGCCATAGTCACACCTATCAACAAAGCAGGTCCTAGGCAGTACCCATCAGATACAGACAGATAAGTTTGGCTAATACTAGAGTAAAATGGTAGACAAGGTAATCACGAAGGTCACTATCCCTCGCCTAAAGAGCCACACTTTGTTATCTTGTTCACAGCATGAGCTAGTAAAGTATGGGAGAAATTCATATTAAGCCTAAAAGTCTAGAAACAGAATTAGAAACAAAAATACAGATGAATCGAACTGAAGGCGCAGTAGATGGAAAAAGGACGGTCTATATGACGAATCAGTAGTCTAACAGATATGCTGAAGTAAATTTATTTTACTAGTCTCATATCACATTGCTACTTCAGATTAATCTGAAGAATCCTACTAAAAAACAGAATATATTTTAATGTCAGTATTATTACACTAGTACTTGATAGAAGAAACGCAATTTACACCGAACTAGAAAGTAAATGACACTCTAGTGTTAAATTATCGTCTAAATTCAACGTACTTCTTCACGCATCCTACGTCTAGCCATTGCATTACGTTTCCTTTCTATTTGCTTTTGGATTTCAATAGGATCGGGCTGAGCATGAGCAGGCAACACATGTAGAGCATATGTATTTCCTCTGATGACTCTTCTGTCATACATCAGGTTTCCATAGTTATAGGTTACATCTTCGTCTCTGAAATTCCGTAAAATCTTTTACACCATTTTAGATTACATATCATCTCTGTAGATCCTTCTTTTAGATACAACTTTGGGTTGGCTGGCAAAGCTGTATGTACCTTCTGGGTTTCTTGAAGGAATGACACTTGTCATCTTCGAACTTTGACACAGTAGAATAGGAAGTTTGAAAGATGTGGAAGCGTTGAGTTTCCATAGCTCAAGGTCGTCACAATCATATCCAATATCCAATATTGACAATGATAGCGTGGAAAACTAGGTTTTTTAATATATCGCGTCTAGTTCTTAGGGCTTGGTTCAGTTGCTTCGTTCACTTCTGCAGTGGACAGGGAAATCCCCTCTGCTGTCTTGCTTTTATCCTCGGTAAGGTGGATATTTTGTGGGTTTGTAAGTTGTAATTTGTAGAGTGTTTGGTGAGCCACGGGTTTCTGAGAGGGTTACGGGACTGTTGTGAATCCTGTCTGTGTGGGTATCTGAACGAGAATAGTAAGGTGATGGTGAAAGAATAGAGAAGAAAAAAGAAAATAAACGAAGAGCAAAAGGGAAAGAAAGAAAAAGGAGGAGGGGTGAAGAAGAGAAATAAAAGACAGAGAAAAGTATATGGGGATTGTCCATGTGAGGAGACATAACTGTCTTACCATCCCTTGAATGGGTTAACTGAGGGGGCTATAATGACATGTCGCAGTAAGGCATTCCACAAAGCACATACTCTCAAGGAGAAAAAATCGGATCTGAGTAGGGCTCCTTGGTGCTCCATCTTAGTGAGCTTTCCTCGTGATGGCCGCTAAGCTGCGGGCAAAGTTGATTTTTTTTGCGTGGTTTGCCTGATGGGCGATCTTGTATGCCATAATAAGGCCACCCCTCTCCCTGCGACAACCCAAGGTAAATAGGTTTGGGTGTTTGAGTCTTTCAGGATACATCTTTCCCCCTAGCCCCACAACTGATTTTGTTGCAGTTATTTGTATTTTTTCAAGGAGATTAGAGTCCCTCTTGAGTGTTGCGGGGGCCGCCACATTGAAGACCTCAAGATGCGGCCGCATGTACCATCTGAAAATGGTGAAGAAGAGTTCGGGGGTGAGGGCGCCAAGCTGTCTACGCAAAAAGTGCAGAATGGAATTCACTCTGGTTGTCATACCTTTGTAGTTAGAGCTGGTGTTCAAGGCGTTGGAGAAGTTGAGTCCCAAGTCTTTCTCCGCAAACACTGGTGATAGAACGGTTGCTCAACATGTACTGAAAGTCGGTTGTACCTGCTTCATATTTACTGATGTGCATTACTTAGTAATTTTCCAGATTGAAGCTCAAGCCATTTTCCGATGGCCAGAGTTCGAGTCGCTGCAAGTCCTTTTGTAGTGCTGTACAATCAGCTTCTTCGTCTACTACCATACAAACTTTAATTTCGTCAACAGAGAGGAGGATGGGTGAGTATATTTCGTCCGGCAGATCATTGACAAACAGGAGGAACAGAAGTGGTCTTAGGATTGCTGCTTGGGATAATCCTGACGTCGATGGTCTCCACCCAGACCTTATTCTGTTTGCTTTGATGCTGAAATGCCTTCCTTCTGGGCACTCCTCAGACCAGGAGAGTAGGGGCTCACTTATACCGGCTGACGTGATCCTGTGAGGCGGGACTGTGGATGCGACACGTCAAATGCTTTGACTAGGTCGAGAAATGCAACATGTACCGGTTCTCTGTTGTCCCAGCTGAGTATCCCGTCGTCCCATGAAGTTAGTAAGTTCGTGGCACATGAGCGACCACTCTGTAATCCATGTTGAGCAGTGTGTACTGTTTTCTCTACTGAGGAATTCCCAAATAGTGTTAGCTATCAGGCTTTCCAACACTTTCGACACAATAGGGAGTAGGGCAATTGGCCTGTAGCTGCCAGGGCTTTTTCTTTATCCTCCCTTGAAGATGGGTGACAAGATGGCTCTCTTCCATTGTCTTCGGGTGGTTTGCACGATTCTATTGAGTGCTTAAAGAGGTTGTAGATTGGTTTGGCAGGCAACTCAACGCGGTCTTTAAGGATCACCCGTTTCAGGTTATGCAGCCAGGGGACTTGCCTGAACGCAGATTAGATAATTTCCGCGACATTTTTTTCGCTGTGGCTGAAATGTGGCAGAGATTTTCGTTATTTATGACCTGTTCCGTGTCGCAACTAGTCGGTGTGGATTTGGCGTCAGTACCAAGTTGGGCTTGGAAGTGCGAGCTCAGAAGCTCGGCAACCTCTAGACTGCTTAGTACTCTCCCATCATGACCTATGATAAGATTCACTCTCTTGCTGGTCGACCTACTCTTCGACATGATGCGGTACAGATTGTCGAAGTTACTTTGTAACCTCTGCGCCAAGTTTGTCGCTAAGCACTTTCATGTTACAGCAGCTGCGAATCCTTCGTAATTCAAAAGGTCAAACTCCCTGCGTGATGAGCGCCACTCGAAAGAGGCTTGCTTCGCATTCTGAATTTGCCCCTCTGTCCATTGCTCAAACTATGAGGTTCTCATTGACGGTCTATGTGTTACCTCAGGTACACTGTGACTGACTGCCCCAACGATTATTTTCTTCACCTGTAACCAGTGTTCATCTGTTGCGAGATACGTCTAGTCTACCGCGGCGAAGCTTGTTACTTTGTGGTCACTGATGCCAAGGGCAGGTTGGGTGCATACACCTTCATCGTTCGTCAGATCACGGTCGGGGCGCGATGCGTTTCCGTCAGGCCCTCAGAGTGCGGTATTACCCACTGTCTCTGAGACGACAGCAGTCTTAATTGCATATTCAGCTTCTGATTGAAGGATCTGATGTGTCTCAATTCCATCTGGAAGTGGATGGATGAGGTGTTGAGGCCACCGGCGACGGTTATGGAGTAGTTCTGTGCACAGCAAGTGCTTAAGATTGCCTTGATGACCATTTTATATATGTAGGGGAGCTGGTGGGCGACTGACGTATGACATCCTGCAGGTATTTGGTGCAGTGGAGAGTGAAGCAGCACTATAAAGATTCTGGGAGTTGGGTTAGGGCGGTATCGTTGACCTCCTTACGTAGAGCCACCTCACTCCTGCTTTGAGTTCTTTGTCCCTTTGGAAGAGTTCCATGCCAGTGACGTGCATCTTTTCGTCGGAGAAGTTTGACAAGAGCCAGGATTCGGTGATAAATACGATGTCACAGTGCTGACGCTCATGCAGCGTCCTCATCTCTTCTACTTTCCTTCTTAGACCCTAATGTTGCTGCACATACACGTTAGAGTGTGTCTGGTGAGAGGTGAGGGCTGGTTGTGTAATTTCGCAAGAGGAGCGCTTTCGTGGTTGGGTCTAGCGTCGCTGGTCCCCGTTCCATAGTTCCGCTTTTTGTTTTCAACTTGGGTGGAGGCTGAGTCAGCGGGAGCCTCCTTACTCAGTGTATCTGACTCACTGGTCGTTGCCTCTGTGACAGCCACTGACTCCAGAGGTCCTGGTGGTTGCAGTCTCTCCCCTTGCCTCGTGAGTCTGGGCCTACTTTCACACACATATTGAGCCACCTATACGATCTTTCATATCAAGTCATGCGCGTAGAACGTCTGTGAGGGAGGCGTGTGAGTCGAATTGGATGGCAAGTGGTCTGGGAGTGGGTATGGACTCCAGATGCACTGGTCCCCGTAGTCCACTGACGCTGTCGGCCGGGATACTGTCGAGACCAACTTTAGTTGAGAGCCATTGCCACTATTGGACGTGGTGGGAGTACTGATCTTTAGCCGAGCGGTCACTTGGCAGTTCTTGAATCCGATGTTGGGATTTCCAACCGCTGGCTTTCTCTCCTCCTCTCTTATTGACCATGACGGGTCTTGCCTGACCCGAATTCCGCAGGCAATAACAACGTCCGGCTGTCACGAGAGAAGGATGGTGCCTCCGGCCTCTTTGGCAATCTTCGAGGACACACGTAAAGGGGTGGCTTATCTCGAGGCGCCCTGCTTCCACGAGAAAGACAACGCAGTGTTATAGAAGGAGGAGGGAGTCCGAGCGTCTGACAGTAGTCGGTCCACAATCGGCTGTCAACCCGCTGTCTCTCTATCAGCAGTGAGTCTGTTCATACGTCGACGTTGAACAGGGTGATCCAGTTAGCTCTCTTGTGACTTGGGTTCGTTGTGGGTGGCACGTCCAACTTCCCAATGGGCTTGTTGTGTATTTCTACTGGTCGCTTCTCAGCCATAGCGTCTGGTATGTTTTGGCTAGGTTTCGTGTCGGTCGCTGTCTTCAGCCATGCGCTTGACGTTCTCTGAGGCAAGGCAGGAGGTGCGAAGACTTGACTTAATGTGGTCCCCGCGTGTGGTCACGTGCTGGCAGCCGGAGATCCAGTTCTGTTTCCAGGTCCCTCTGCGTCATCCTTTAATGCTATCCCTACTTTACTAGATGAATTTGGTAGCTTTTGTATGGCGGAGAGCATCTCCTTCAGGCTTTCCGTGGCGTGTGCTGGCAGCTTCCTGTGCTCTGGACAAATGTACGACAGCCATTTGCGTGTTTGTCTCTTCACCAGCTTGTAGTATTTTTTCGGGGTACTTTGGTGTGGCGGTGGCAATGCGCCCATCGGTGACATAGGTTGCATTTAAATGCCTCATCGACTACCAAAACAACTTTAGCGCAAACACTGTAGCCATCGGGTGTCATAATGCAGCCCTCTTTCCTCGAAGGAAGTTGTACGGTTGGTGGCGAACTGCCCATAGCTGCCTTATTCTTAAACCTTTAACTCCATATCCTCTTTTCAGGCGTGGTCTGATCCTTTCTCGAGGTAGGGTTAGTTTGTGACCTGCTAGTGCTACTGTGAGTTACCTGTTCTCTGGCGACTGGAATCCTAGAAACATAAGTTGGCCGCTTCCTTAGAAGTCCGGTGTTCTGCCCTACATCTTTGTCTGTGTGTATAGACTAGGGCGTTACTGTCCCTTCCATTGCACTAACGCACTATCCGTGTTAAAGCTTCAGATTTAGCGTTTCGGGCAGACATGTCACTATCATATGAACTTCTTCGGAAAACAAATGTTTAACAGCAATAAGGAAGTTGAAGACTGAATATAGAAAAATAACGGAATATATAAAGGAAGACAATTAATGTTGGCTTGCCTTCAGACGCTTGCCACTTGCAACTCTGCATACGAGCTAAAAATCCAGTGGAATT